GGGCAAAGTAACATGTAGTATCACCAGATTACTTTTAGATAGGCTTTTAGATCCCAGGTGTTTTTTTGTTTGTTTGTTTTGTTTTTATTGCAAAGGGACTTTTTGTGGGATGGGCTAAAACAAGTCATCTTGACAAGCTTTATTTTTCATTCTTTTTATTTATTCATTCCTTAAACATTTATTGAGCACTTTACTTTGCATACTGCAACCTTTTGTAGGTCTTCATTACCACCTTGGTAAATGTTGAAAGTGAATTCTGCTTCCTAATGGACATTTGATGCACATCATGGAATGCTCCAATGACATGGTTTTAATATATATTTCAATAGAATGCTGTAGGTATTTTACATTTTCCTTAACATGATAATGCTGATTGAGAAGTTCTTGTCTCTGGGTGGTTGTAAAATCGATTCTTCAGGGGTTTTTTAGTTTTTTTTTTTTTTTTATATTTTAAGTATTTTCTACCATAAGTATATATTACTTTTATAATGATAAAAATAATTTTAAACAAATAATTTGGTAGTAGAAAATATAGCCCAGCCAGGTATGGCTCAGTGGTTGAGCATCGACCCAGGAACCAAGAAGTTACCTGTTCAATTCCTGGTCAGGGCAGATGTCTGAGTTGTGGGCTCAGTCCCTAGTAGGGGGTGCGCAGGAGGCAACCAATCGATGATTCTCTCATCATTGATGTTTTTATCTCTCTCTCCCTCTCCCTTCCTCTCTGAAATCAATAAAAAATACTTTTAAACAAGAAAATATAAAGTTGAGGTATCCAACAGCCAATGTTACTCTTGTATTTATTCCTAGTTTTAGACTGTTTTTGAAATGGCATACTTAATAGCACTGAAAAGCCAAGTAAAATGAAATCCCATCCCATTTCTCCTCTAATGGAAATTGTGATGATTTTCTTGGAGTTCATGTTATTCTTACACTTACCAGTATTATAGCAGTGGGAAAAATCACAACTGGACATCTTCCCTATAAGCCAGTATAATAACTATTTAAGAGCCATGGGCTTGCCCAATTTACCCATAGTAAATTAGAAAAAGCTTTTTAGAAGCAATCAGTGGTAGCTAGCTGTCCCTAAGCCTACCTTGGAGTATATTGGCAATTAAATATGTTTTCTTTCTTTTACCTTACGTGCTTTGACTTTTAGTAGAGTAGTAGAATTGCTTTAGGGTACTTACTGGAGACTTTTAAATATGATTAACATGTTTGGAAATGTCCTTATTAGGACATTTAGTAAATTTTTGTCATGTACCTCAAAAATGATCAGAATGAAAACTCTTGAAGTGCATGTGTTAATGGGCACCTGAGAATATGTATTAATCCACCCAAGATAATTACATCTAATTTCTCTTGTAGTTGAGTGATTATCAGTGAGGAAGTGAGGAATCTAAAGAGAGCCTCCATCACATTGTCTTAATTAGTCTTATAGCAAAATCTTTCTTTTCTTTTGAGCAGCCTTGTTACACGGGTAATGTCAGTTATTGCAATAGAATTGCTACATGTAAGCCAACTTGTTTTTACCATCCAAACTGTTTAAACTTACTGTAATTTATTGTGGTTTATGTATATGTCAGAGCACTAGATTTCATGCTAACAGATCAGAATTTTCACAGCGAAACTAGTACACCATTTGTGGGTTTTTAAAGATTATTACAATAAATATATTTTTCAATTCATCTGCTAATTTTCCCTCTTCTGATTTCCAATCAAGTTAATTTTTTAGTGTTTGTTCCTACAAGTAATTGTGATACAATGTCTTCTCTTTTTGTATCATGACATAATTTTAAAAGAAATACTTAATTTTGAAGGAATTTGAGAATTAGAGAAAAAAATAAATCACTTAGAACCTTCTCACACAGAATAACAATTTTTATTAGTATTTTGATATATCTATTTTTTAGTATTTGATAAGCTTATACATAGACTGTTTTCTACAAAATTGGGATTATATTATATATACTAATCTATATCCTTTCTTTTCTCTTTTATTATTATATTATACTAGAGGCCCGGTGCATGAAATTTGTGCACGAGGGATGGGGGGAGGAATCCCCTCAGCCCAGCCTGAACCCTCTCCAATCTTGGACCCCTCAGGGTTTGTCCTGGGGATCAGAATTAAACCAACAGTCAGACATTCCTCTCACAATCCAGGATCACTGGCTCCTAACTGCTCACCTGCCTGCCCACCTGATCTTCCCTAACTGTCCCGCCTGCCAGCCTGGTTGCCCCCAACTGCTCCCTCCGCCAGCCTAGTCACCACTAACTGCCCCCTTGGCCTGGTCACCCCTTACTCCCCCCCTGTTGGCCTGGTCACCCTATGCAGCCTGCTTCTTGGTTGTTTGGTTGCTTCTCACTGACCCCCTGCTGGCCTGGTCACTCCACACAACCTGCTGCTCAGTTGTTTGTTCAATTCTCACTAACCCCCATGCTGGCCTGATTGCCCACCCAGCCTGCTCAGTCACTTGGTTGCCCCTCACTGACCTCCCCTCCTGGCCTGATCACCCCCAACTTCCCCCCCACACACACAGGCCTGGTCATCCCACACAGCCTGCTGCTCAGTAATTTGGTCGCCCCTCATTAACCCCCCTTCTGGCCTGGGTGCCCCACACAGCCTGCTGCTCAGTCATTTGGTCACCCCTCATTATCCACCCTGCCAGCCTGGTTGCCCCACACAACCTGTTGGGTTGTTCGTTTGGTTGTTTCAGATGCAATTGCCACTTAGCCTTTTATATATAGAGACTGTAAGCATTTCTCATATCATAAAAATTTCAATATTTTGGAATATTATATTTAATTAAATGTGATAACTATTTTCAGTAAGCAATTATGTGTGTCTTTTTTGCTGTCAATGTTCTTTTTAAAGCTTAATATATGTACTTAAGACTCATCTCCAACAAATCCTCCATATAAACTTTAAATCTTTTGTGATATCTTTATTTTTAATTTTTTAAAATTCTTTATTGTTGAAAATATTACACATGTCCCCTTTTCCTCCCATTGTCCTCTCCTGGCCTATATTGACCAACCAGCCCTGGCCTTCACTGCCCCATTGTTTGCATCCATCAATTATGCTTATATGCATATAAGTTTCTTGGTTGATCTCTTTTCCCCCGTATACTCCCTGCCCACCCTCCCCTGCCTTCCCTCTGAGGTTTGACTGTTCGATGATTCTATGGCTCTGGATCTATATTCATCAGTTTATGTTGTTCATTATGTTCCACAAATGAAGATGCTCATTGATGCTTATCATTCTCTGACTGGCTTATTTTGCTCAGCATAATGCCCTCCAGATCCATCCATACTATTGCAAATAGTAAGAGTTCTTTCTTTTTTACAGCAGCGTAGTATTGCATTATGTAGATATAGCAAAGGTTTTTATTTTAAAATATATATTTATTGATTTTTTTTTCAGAGAGGAAGGGAGAGGGTTAGAGTTAGAAACATCGATGAGAGAAAAACATCAATCAGCTTTCTCTTGCACACCTCCTACTGGGGATGTGCCCACAACCAAGGTACATGCCCTTGACCGGAATTGAACCTGGTGCCTTTTAGGCCCCAGGCCGATGCTCTATCCACTGAGCCAAACCGGTTAGGGCATAGCAAAGGTTTTTAATACACTCATCTGCTGATGGGCACTTAGGCTGTTTCCAAATTTTAGCTATGGTAAATTGTGCTGCTAAGAAACATTAGGGGTGCATATGTTCTTTATGATGGTGTTTCTAGTTTCTTGGGATATATTCCTAGAAGTGATATTACTGGGTCAAATGGGAGTTCCATTTTTAGTTTTTTTGAGGAAACTCCATACTGTTCTCCACAGTGGCTGCACTGGTCTGCATTCACACCAACAGTGCAAGAGGGTTCACTTTTCTCTGCATCCTCACCAGCACCTGTCATTTGTTGATTTGTTGATGATAGTCATTCTGACAGGTGTGAAATGGTACCTCATTGTCATTTTGATTTGCATCTCTCAGATGATTAGTGACTTTGAGCATGTTTTCATATGCCTCTTGGCCTTCTGTATGTTCACTTTTGAAAAGTGTCTATTTAAGTCCTTTGCCCATTTTTTGATTGGATTGTTTGCCTTCCTTGTGTTAGGTTGTATGGGTTCCCTATGATTTTAAAGATTAAACCCTTATCAGATGTAACAATGGCAAATATGTTCTCTCATGCAGTGGGCTTTCCTGTTGTTCTGTTGATGGTTTCTTTTGCTGTGCAGAAGCTTTCTATTTTGATGTAGTCCTATTTGTTTATTTTCACTTTAGTTTCCATTGTCTTAGGAGATGTGTCAGTAAACATACTGCTATGAGATATGTCTTCTATTTTGCTGCCCATCGATTTTTCTATGATTTTTATGATTCCTCATGTTACATTTAAGTCTTTTATCCATTTTGAGTTTATTTTTGTATATGGTGTAAGTTGGTGGTCAAGTTTCAATTTTTTTGCATGTATCGATATCTGTCCAATTTTCCCAATACCATTTATTGCCTCCATTGTATGCCCTTGCCTCCTTTGTCAAATATTAATTGAGCATGGTGGTTTGGGTTGATTTCTAGGTTCTCTGTTCTGTTCGATTGGTCTATATATCTGTTCTTGTGCCAGTACCAGGCTGTTTTCAGAACAGTGGCTTTGTAATATAACTTGATGTCTGACAAATATTCTTTTTCATCTGTTGAGAATATCCAAGTCTTTGTAAAGAAGGTTATAATAGAACAGAAAGAGCAGAGAGAAAATTGAAGTAGTGATAGGAAATAACCTATCATTAATAAATTAGGAGTCGTTTTTTACAATCTGTGACTTTGAATGAAGGTATAATAATGGCAAAATCTGTAATGACTGAATAAAAATAATTTTATTTTCTTCTTTTAAAAATACATTTTTGGCATTATCAAGAAAGAAAATGTTAATATCTTGCTACTAAGAGAAAGTCTGTTTAAAGTATATCTTTCCTACCTTTTGTCAGTCTTCTCATCTCACTCTTTGTCTTTCTAAAGCCATGGGAATAAAGAAGAGTTCTCTTGCAGAGGAATACAACTAGCTGTGGATTGGTTTCTAGATAAAGGCCATAAAGATATTACTGTATTTGTGCCTGCATGGAGAAAGGAGCAATCCCGACCTGATGCACCAATTTCAGGTATGATTTTAAATAAGACATTTTTTTTTCTCATCCAAAGCAAAGCAGCAAGATAGGTTAGAGAGATGTTGATGGTCCCAATTTAGATAATTATTTTTATAAGTTTATTAAGTATACTTAAAATATATTTTATTAAGTGTATTTTAAGAATATTTTTCCAGAGATTAAAAATGGTGGAAAATTAAATGGATGCTGCACAGACATGCTCCCAGGAACAAACTGGTATTACAACTAAAATACAGAAAAATTTCCTGAATAATCAACAGAAAACTCGAAGGAGAGAACCTTGACACCTAAGGATTGAAAGTGAAGACCGCATAGAAACTGGTAGGAGGGGCAAAGCCTAAAAGGGTGGGCCAGGTGCTCACAGACAGCAACTGAAGTCCCAGAGATATCTCAGTTGTGGGGGGTTGCCATTGAAAATTCTAGGATCTATTATCAAAGCTGGGCCCCCTAACATTGAGCACCAAAACTGAGGAGGTACCCACATAACAGATGGCTATGAAAAGCAGTGGAGTACTGTCTGCCAGAACGTAATAGCTGAAAATTCAGGCACCCTCTTAAAGGGCCAACACACAAAATTCCCTGTGGAGCTACCCACCTTGTGCTCCAGCAGAGAGAGGGTGAAATGGACTAAAGCTGTGAGAGCAGAAGCCAGGACTGGGGATTCAGTCGATAGAGTTCAGAAGGAAGACACCCCAAGTTTCCTGGGCTGAGTCATTCCCTCATACAGTGGAGGATATCTTTCCCACATAGACATTTGCCTTGCAGTGGGCAGGGGTAGGGAAGACAATTGACACACCCTGTTGGAAAACACCTTACCCTGAGGCTTTTTAAGAGACTAAAAATAAAAATTAGCCTCCAGGCAGAAGCAATTGTCCCACCCTGTTGAAAAAAAACATTTCACCACACCTAAGGACTATTGCCTGGAAGGCAATTCAGGTCAGAATCCTAACAGTCTATAGGCAAAGGCAGTCTCTGGAGGTTTTAAGTCTTTGTCTGCTCTAATTATTAAAAAAGCCTTTAACACTACTCTGTACTAGAGATTGAGAGGTGTAGGGGATCTACCTAATACACAGTCACAAACCCAAATAGAAAGCCAAAATGAGGAGATAAAGAAACAACTCCAGCCGAAACTGGTTTGGCTCAGTGGATAGAGCGTTGTCCTGCAGACTGAAAGGTCCCGGCTTTGATTCCGGTAAAGGGCATGTACCTTGGTTGCAGGCACATCCCCAGTGGAGGAGAAGGGGGGTGGTACAGGATCCAGCTGATCGATGTACCTCTCCTCATCGATGTTTCTAACTTTTTATCTCCCTTTCTCTCTGAAAAAAATCAATAAAATATATTTTTAAAAGAAAGAAAGAAAGAAACAACTCCAAATGAAATAACTGGAGAATTCTCTATAAGAAGAGCTAAATGAAGCAGAGAGAAGAAATTTATCTGAAGCAGAGTTCAGAGTAATGAGAGTAAAGATGCTCAACAGCATAAAAAAGATATAGTAACTATGAAAAAAAGAATAATCTGAAAAAAAGAATGACATAACACAAATAAAGAATACACAACAGGTTAGGGAAAGGAATACACAGCAGATTAGGGGAAGCTGAGGTCTGAATCAGTGAATTAGAAGACAGAGTTGAAAATATCACTCAATCCGAAAATCAAAAAGAAAAAACAATTAAAAAAACAGGAGGACAGATTAAGGGAGCTGTGGGACATAACAATATTGGAATAGCAGGTGTTCCCAAAGAGGTAGAAAGGAGAAAGGCATAAAGAAGGTGTTTAAAGAACTAAAGGCAGAAAACTTCCCTAACTTGGTAAAGGAAAAAGTCACACACGTTCAGGAGACACAGAGAACCCCAAACAAGAGGAACCCAAACAGGCCCATGCGAAAAAAACATCATAATTAAAATGCCAAAAATTAAGGACAAAGAATGAATCTTACAGGCAGTAAGAGAAAAGAAAACTGTTACCTACAAAAGAGTTCCCATAAGACTGACACCAGATTTCTCATCAGAAACTCTACAGGCCAGAAGACAATGGCATGAAGTACTCAAGGTAATGGAAAGCAAGTATCTGAGACCAAGATTACTATATCCAGCCAGGCTATCATTCAAAATAGATGGTCAATAAAGACCTTACAGAGGAGGTAAAAAAAAAAAAAATAGGCTAAAGGAGTACATCACCACCAACCCAGCATTACAAGAAATTCTAAAAGGATTACTGTAATCAGAAGAAGAAACAGAGAAACCTAGTCATACAGAATTAAAATGGCAATAAATAAGTACCTATCAATAATAACTTTAAATGTAAATGGATTAAATGCACCAATCAAAAGGCATAGGGTAGCTGAATTGATACAAAACATGACACAACTATATGCTGTCTACAAGAGACATGCCTCAAAACAAAAGACACACACAGGATGAGAGTGAAGGGATGGAAAAATTTTTTCCAAGAAAATGGAAATAAAAAGCTGGATTAGTAATACTCATATCTGACAAATAAAATAAAATAACTTTAAAATGAAGGCAATCACAAGAGACAACAAAGGTCACTACATAATACTAAAGGGATCTATCCAACAAGAGGATATAACCCTGGTAAACAAATATGCACCCAATAGAGAAGCAACTAAATATATAAGTGTACATGGATCATTCACAAAGATAGACCACTTGTTAGGACACAAAACAAGTCTCTACAAGTTCAAGAAGATTGAAATCATATCAAGCATCTTCTCAGATCACAGTGGAATGAAATTAGAAATCAACTACAGTAAAAACACCCAAAAAAATTCCAACACATGGAGGCTAAATAGCATGTTACTAAACAATGAATGGGTTGTGAAGAGATCAAGAAGGAATAAAAAACTTCCTGGAAACAAATGAAAATGAACACACAACAACCCCATATCTCTGAGACACAGGAAATGCAGCCCTGAAACGGAAGTTCATAGCACTACAGGCATACCTCAAAAAACAAGAAAAATCAGCAATATATTATTTTACACTATAACTTAAAGAACTAGAAAGAGAACAATAAGAAAATCCCTAGTTAGTAGAAGAAAGGAAATAATAAAGATCAGAGCAGAAATAAATGACATAGTGACTAAAAAAATCAATAAAACCAAGAGCTGGTTCCTTGAAAGAATAAATAACATTGATAAGCCATTAGCTAAACTCATTAAAAAACAAACAAACAAAACACACACACACACACACACACACACACACACACACACACACACACACACAAAGAGAAAGGACCCAAATATATAAAATCAGAAATGAAAGTGGAGGAGTAACCTCTGATACCACAGAAATACAAAGGATTATAAGAAAATACTATGAACAACTATATGCCAACAAGCTGGACAATGTGGATGAAATAGTCAAATTCCTAGAAATACACAATCTCCTAAAACTGAATCAGGAAGAATAAAAAAACTTGAATAGGCCAATAATAATTTATGAAATAGAAGCACTAATCAAAAACCTCCTACCAAACAAAAGCCTAGGTGTGGAAGGCTTCACAGGGGAGTTTTACCATACATTCAAAGAAGAACTAACTCCTATACTCCTAAAACTATTTCAGAAAATCCAAGAGCAAGGAACACTTCCAAACTATTTTTCTGAGGACAGCATTATCTTAATTCCAAAACCAGATAAAGACACTACATAGAAAGAGAATTACAGGCTAATATCCCTAATGAACATAGGTGCTAAAATTCTCAACAAAATATTAGCAAATTGCATCCAGCAATATATTAAAAAGATGAAGTGGATTTATTCCCGGGATGCAAGGCTGGTATAATATTCTCAAATCAATAAATGTGTTATATCACATGAACAAGTTAAATGATAAAATCACATGATTATATCAATAGATGCATAAAAAGCAACAATTTTTTATAAAAACTCTCAGCAAGCCCCAACCAGTTTGGCTCAGTGGATATAGCATCGGCTGGGGACTCAAGGGTCCCAGGTTTGATTCTGGTCAAGAGCATATGCCTGGGTTGTGGGCTCAGTCCAACGTGTAGGAGGCAACCAATCAATGATTCCCTCTCATTATTGACGTTTCTATCTCTCACTTCCTCTCCTTTCCTCTCTGAAATAAATAAAAATATATTTTTACAAAACTCTTAGCGAAGTGGGAATAGAGGGAGCATATCTCAATGTGATAAATATCATATATGACAAACCTACAGCCAACATCATATTCAATGGGCAAAAACCAAATCCATTTCTCCTAAGAACAGGAAAAAGACAGGGATGTCCACTTTCACTGCTCCTGTTTGACATAGTACGGGAAGTACTAGCCATAATGATCAGACAAGAAGAAATATAAGGCATCCCAATTGGAAAAGAAGTAGTAAAACTGTCATTCACAGATGACATTATATTGTACTTAAAAAAAACCCCAAAGACTCCATAAAAAAACTACTAGACTTAATAAATGAATTCAACAATGTAGCAGGATACAAAACTAACACTCAGAAATCTATGGCTTTTTTTATACACCGATAATGAACTCACATAAAGAAAAACAATCCCACTTACTATTGCAACAACAAAATAATTAAGATGCCTAGGAATAAAATTAACTAAGGAGGTAAAAGACCTGTACTTGGAAAACTATAGCACGTTGAAAAAAGACAGAAGAAGACATAAACAAATAGAAGAATATACTATGTTCATGGATTGGTGGAATCAATGTCATTAAAATGTCCATAATATCCAAAGCAAATCTATAGGTTCAATCCAATCCCTAGAACAAACTTTCTAATAATTCGTATGACATAAAGAAGAACAATGTTGGAGGGATCACAATACCAGATATCAAGCTATACTACAAAGTCACTGTTCTCAAAACTGTCTGGTACTGGCACAAGAACAGACATATAGATCAATGGAACAGAACAGAGAACCCAGAAATTGACCCAAGCCATTATGCTCAATTAATATTTGACAAAGGAGGCAAGAGCATACAATGGAGTCAAGAGAGTCTCTTCAATAAATGGTGTTGGGAAAATTGGACAAAAACATGCAAAAAAATGAAACTAGACCACCAACTTACACCATACACAAAAAATAAACTCAAAATAGATAAAGGACTTAAATGTAATATAGGAAACCATAAAAATCTTAGAAGAATCCATAGGCAGCAAATATCAGACATATGTTAGAGCAATATCTTTACTGATACAGCACCTAGGACAATGGAAACTAAGAAGAAAAGAAACAAATGGGACTACATCAAAATAAAAAAGCTTTTGCACAGCAAAAGAAACCATCAAAAGAACAACAGGAAAGCCCACTGCATGGAAAAACATATTTGCAAATGTTATCTCTGATAAGCTTTTAATCTCCAAAATTTATAGGGAACTCATACTATTTAACAAAAGGAAGATAAATAATCCAATCAAAAAATGGGCAAAAGACCAAAATAGACACTTTTTGAAAGAGAACATACAGAAGGCCAAGAGACATGAAAACATGCTCAAAGTCACTAATCATCCAAGAAATGCAAATCAAAATGACAATGAGGTACCATTTCACACCTGTCAGAATGGCTATCATCAACAAATCAACAAATGACAAGTGCTGGTGAGGATGCAGAGAAAGGGGAATCCTCCTGCACTGCTGGTGGGAATGCAGACTGGTGCAGCCACTGTGGAGAACAGTATGGAGTTTCCTCAAAAAACTAAAAGTGGAATTCCCATTTGATGAGCATTCCCACTGCTAGGAATATATCCAAGAAATCAGAAACACCAATCAGAAAGGATATATGCACTCCTAATGTTCATAGCAGCACAATTTACAATAGCTAAAATTTGGAAACAGCCTAAGTGCCCATCAGCAGATGAATGGATTAAAAACGTGGTACATCTACACAATGGAATACTACGCTGCTGTAAAAGAGAAAGGGCTCTTACCATTTGCAACAGCATAGATGGATCTGGAGAGCATTATGCTAAGTGAAATAAGCTAGTCAGAGAAAGATAAATATCACATAATCTCACTCATTTGTGGAATATAAGGAACAACATATACTGATGAACAGAAATAGAGCTAGAGAAAAAATACTTTAGAATATAATTGAAGTAACCCTGTTATTTGCAGATTTTTAATATTTACTACAACTTTTGCGATATTATACTATGTAAGTACAGTTTTGGTAATATTATATTTAAAATATTTTTTCTATAAATGTTTATTGCATGTACTATACATAGACTACAGAGTAAAGGAGGTTGAATCTGGTTATGAACATGACTAAAGAAACTTTGGTAGAAAATTAATCTCATTCTGTACTAGAGAAGTGATATTGTATTTGAAATTAGGGGGCAGAATAGAGAGAGAGAGAGGTCTTATAGCAAAGTCAACTTATCCACAGGGTCCATGATGATAATTTTAAGTTCCCATAGAAATATTTCAAAATTTTATTTTTTTAATTATTTTTTTTCTATTTTTAAAATTATTTTTAAAGTCCTCATGTGAATACCAGGTGGGGGGGGCAGGGAGAAAGAGAGAGAGAGAGAGAGAGAGAGAGAGAGAGAGAGAGAGAGAGAGAGAGAGAGAGAGAGAGAGAGAAACAGACTTTGATTGGTTGCATTCAGTATATGCTCCAACTGGGGATCCAACCTGCAACCCAGTTATGTGCACTTACCAGGAATTGAACCAGCGATCTTTCATTGCACTGGATAATGCTCAGCTAACTGAGCTACTCTGGATGGGCATAAATGCTTTAATTTATTTTCTTTTTTAACATCAGGAGGAAAAAATTGGCTATAATGATGATTAAATAATAATATATCTAACTAGATTATTTGTTCTTATATCAGTGCAATTGTAAAGTATAATTTTAAATATTTCTTTATGGAAGAAGGGCCCATGAAGACAAAACTGCCAAAAATCCACAAAAATAATATGCAGCCCTAATGTTAGGAAGCTCACTGTATTCACTAACAACAATATGTGAAGCTAGCTCTTTATATTTCAGACCATATAGATCCCAGTCCTCTGAGTATTAGCTATTGGCTGATGTGACAAATTAGAAAGTCCAGTGAATGGCTATTGGAGCTGTCTGCCAGCAGCTGAACAGGCTCCCAGACTCAGTCTGAGAGTGGATCCTGGCCTATTTGTATGCAGCCTTCTTTTTCTCAACAATTAAGAGGCCAAAAGGAAAGATTGGCAGTACTAACATACCACAGCTTGATGTTTTCCCTTAGTTGTGGCCTTCCTTTGGGCAGAAGGTAATAACAGAAGTCCCTAGGAATGATGCTTTATTCTCCTAGTGGCAGACACATCCTCAGTATACTGCCCTATTTTCTTCAGTAGCTAAAAACTGGTAGTGTTTTTTTTTTAAATATAATTTTATTTATTTCAGAGAGGAAAGGAGACAGGGAGAGAAATAGAAACAACAATGATGAGAATCATTGATCAGCTGCCTCCTGCATACCCCACACTGGGGATTGAGCCCACAACCCAGACATGTGCCCTGATCAGGAATTGAACCGTGACCTTCTAGTTGATAGGTCAACCCTCAACCACTTTGCAACACCAGCCAGGCTGGTGCTTAAGTTTTTATTATAGCTGCATAAATTCTAGAATATCAGTGATATTTCTCATTCTTTATGGTAGGTTTAAAACTTAGTTGTTATTGAATCCAGTTCCCTCATTTTTTTATTCACCGGAGGATATGTTTTTATTGATTTTTCTTTTTAGAGAGGGAGACACACATGGAGAGAAACATTGATGTGAGAGGGAAACATTGATTAGTTGCCTCCCATATGTTCCCCAACCAGAGATTGAACCCGCAATCTAGGTACGTGCCCTGACTGGGAATCTAATTTGCAACCTTTTGGTTTATGGGACAACACTCCAACGCACTGAGTCACACTGGCCAGGACTCCAGTTCCTTCATTTTATCTAAAAGAAAGCTGAAATCCAAAGGGAAAGGTGACTTATCTAAGGTCACAATTCAAATTGGTGCCACAGCCAGGAATAGAGGCCACTTTCTCTCTAAGGGAAAATAATATATTCATCTAGTACCAATTTATGGATTTGTAATGTTGTTAATTTCCAAAGATAATTTCTACTCTATGGCATATTATCCATATTTTAACAGATCAAGATATCCTACGAAAACTGGAGAAGGAGAAGATTCTTGTCTTCACACCATCCCGAAGGGTCCAAGGCAGGAGAGTTGTCTGCTACGATGACCGGTTCATAGTCAAACTGGCTTTTGATTCCGATGGCATCATTGTATCCAATGATAACTATCGAGACCTTCAAGTTGAAAAGCCAGAATGGAAGAAGTTTATAGAAGAGCGATTGCTGATGTATTCTTTTGTGAATGACAAGTATGTTTCCTTCCTGTAGACTTTGAATAGCCTAAATCCAAGTTACCACTAGGAATAGATTTCATTTCATATCAGTAAACATTTACTGAACACTTATTGTGTACCATGCATTATGCTGGCTGCCATGGGGATAAAATGCTGGATAAGAAACAAAACTTACCCTTAATAAGAGACAACCATAGTATGTTGTGATAAGTGCTATGGTTATAATTTTTTAAAAATATATTTTATTGATTTTTTACAGAGAGGAAGGGAGAGAGACAGAGAGCCAGAAATGTTGATGAGAAAGAAACATCAACCAGCCGCCTCCTGCACATCCCCTACTGGGGATGTGCCCACAGCCAACATACATGCCCTTGACCGGAATCTAATTTGCAACCCAGGACCTTTCAGTCCACAGACCGACGCTCTACCACTGAGCCAAACCGGTTTCGGCTATGGTTATAATTTTTAAATTGCTTTATCTATGTGAAACAATAGGAAAAGGCTTCACAGAGATGACATTTGAGCTGAAGTTTACAGATAGAGGAGAGGGGGCTGCTGGGCCTTACAGGTAAAGGAGACATCATGAATAAAGCTCTAAAGGTGTGGAAGTGGGTTACATGTTGAGGAAAACCGCAGGTATGCTAGTTTGGCTGGGACATATAGTCCATGACAGATCTATTTACAGGAAAAATCATTTTTTTTGTGATCAAGGGGGAACAGAGAGAAAAAATGCTGGCTTAGCAAAAGATAGACTTGAGACGAGAAGGGCAGTTATGAGGCTGTGACAGTAGTAATGAAGATATAAACTTCTGATAAGGGGTATTGGGAACAGAAGGAAAGATATTTATCTCTTGCTTGCTTTCAGATTTATGCCTCCAGATGATCCTTTAGGGCGCCATGGCCCAAGCCTTGAAAATTTCTTAAGAAAGAGACCTGTTGTTCCTGAACACAAGAAGCAACCATGCCCTTATGGTGAGTACCTTATGTGCAAAACTGAGTTCTGTACTAAGGAAAGCATAAGGACTCTGTGTATACTTTCTCTTCAAGATTTCCCTTTCCAATGGAAAATTCTGGCTTGTCTACTTTCTGTGAGTTAAAGTCTTGTCTTCATGTATTTTCATTTAGGTATTTAAAGAAACATCCTAGAAACTGCATGAGAAAAAGGATAACTATAATTGAAAAGATTAGTTGTTGCTTGTTAAAATTAGTTGTTACTTGTGTTGTAGCTGCCTCTGTTCTGAGCAGTGTTGCTGGGGCAGGGAAATGCAGAACCCCACAGGGCTTACAGAAGCAGAAAGGACAATGCCAAATTGGGTTTTGCCCCAAGAAAGATATCTCTCAGGCAGGTGATTGCACCCTCTGTCAACTAACAACTTCTCTTCAGATATGTACTTTCCAATTTGCTTCTAAACTTTAGTTTCATTTACTTTTTGAAAATACAGATTTATAGAGTACTTTAATGATCTTCAAGTTCCTCTGTTACAAAGTTTGTGAGCTTAACAGTGCAACATGGGCTGCCTGGTCTGAGGCTACTTCAGATGTTCAGTCTTTTGGGGTTAATCATTTGTTTATGAACATCTGGGTTTTTGTCCTCAATTAGCATTTATTTAAATCAGCATAGTTTCATGTTCATTATATTTATTTAATCTTTACAATAACTCTATAATATAGGAATAATTGCAAACCTTGTTTACAGAAGAGGAAACTGAGGCTCAGGAAGTAGTCACTCCCCAAGGTCACGTGGCTAGTAAGAGACATAGCTGGAATTGAAACCCAACTCTGACTGGCCTCCAAGCCTGTGCTCTTTGCATTGCACCATACCTGCTGCTGCTCTACACCACTTCGGCACATAGGTTATGCCTAGGCATAGTTGTGAATTATAGGAAAATGAAGGCTGTTCAACTGCTTAGCTCCTAGCTTTCACACTGCAGTTTCCTCCCCAGCTTTCTTCTTCTTCTCTCTCCCCTCACAGTGTGTGATGCCTCCTTGGTGTTGTCTGTCTCTCATCTTTATGGAAAGTTACTTTTTTGCCTTAACTCCAAACAGTAAAACTCTAACCTGAGTGACCAGATTGTTACGACAGTTTCTGGCACAGAGAGTCACTCCACTATGAGAGAGGTCTTACCCCAAGGCATTATTTTTCAGGCAAAAAATGCACCTACGGCCACAAGTGCAAATACTACCATCCGGAGCGGGCCAACCAACCCCAGCGTTCGGTGGCTGATGAGCTCCGCATCAGTGCCAAACTATCCACAGTGAAAACTATGAGCGAAGGCACCCTGGCCAAATGTGGTACAGGGTTGTCTAGTGCCAAAAGTGAGATAACCTCAGAAGTCAAGCGTGTGGCCCCTAAGCGCCAATCAGATCCCAGCATCCGATCGGTGGCTGTGGAACCTGAGGAATGGCTGTCCATTTCCCGTAAGCCTGAGGCCAGTTCTGTACCCTCACTTGTGACCGCCCTAAGTGTCCCCACAATCCCACCTCCCAAAAGCCATGCAGTGGGTGCACTCAACACCCGTTCGGCCAGTAGCCCAGTGCCAGGATCCTCTCATTTCCCCCACCAGAAGTCTTCACTGGAGCATATGGCCAGCATGCAGTACCCCCCAATCCTGGTTACCAACAGCCATGGGACCCCTATTAGTTATGCCGAGCAATACCCAAAGTATGAGTCCTTGGGGGACCATGGCTACTATTCAATGTTAGGTGACTTCTCCAAAATGAACATCAACAGCATGCATAATCGAGAGTACTACATGGCTGAAGCAGACTCGGGGATGTATGCCAGGAATCCCAACCTCTGTCCAGACAGCCGTATGAGCCATACCAGGAATGACAACTATTCCTCTTACAACAACCTGTACTTGGCTGATGCCCATCCTGAGGGCAGTTTGAAGCTGCATCGCTCAGCATCTCAAAACCGTCTTCAGCCTTTTTCTCATGGTTACCATGAAGCCTTAATGCGAGTGCAGAGCTATGGCCCAGAGGATTCTAAGCAAGCCCCCCACAAGCAGTCGGTCCCCCACTTGGTTCTGCATGCCCAGCACCCAGCAACTGGAGCACGATCTAGCTGTCCTGGAGACTACTCCATGCCTCACAATATCCATCCTGGGGCAACCTCCCAGCCAGGACGTGCCCTGGTGATGACTCGGATGGACAGCATTTCTGACTCACGCCTCTATGAGAGCAACCCCATGAGGCAAAGACGACCTCCTCTGTGCCGGGAACAACATGCTAGCTGGGACCCACTACCTTGTACAACTGACTCTTATGGCTACCATTCCTATCCCTTGAGTAACAACCTCATGCAGCCATGCTATGAACCAGTGATGGTACGGAGCGTGCCTGAAAAGATGGAGCAGCTTTGGAGGAATCCTTGGGTTGGAATGTGCAATGATTCCAGGGAGCATATGATCCCAGAGCACCAGTATCAGACCTACAAGAACCTCTGCAATATTTTCCCTTCCAACGTCGTTCTTGCAGTGATGGAGAAGAATCCTCACACAGCAGATGCCCAGCAGCTGGCAGCCTTGATTGTTTCTAAGCTTAGGGCTGCACGTTGACATGACATAGTATCTATTCCTTCATACAAATAATATTAATACTAATAATGCACTAATACTATGGTAACAGAAACTAATAATTATGTGTTGCGCTTTAAAAGTTGCAGACTGTTAATGTCATTGAAGCACATAACAACCCTGTGAAATAAGTTTTACTAATGTGTTTCCTAGACAAGGAAACTGATTAAATTATTTGCCGAGTTCACACTACTAGCAAATGACCAAATCAGGAGTCCTCTGATTCCAAGTCTCATACTCTTTTGCACTGCACCATGCAGGTAATGGAGGATAAAACCCAGAGGGAGAGGCCCAAGTATAAGAAACCCAAGAGATTCCATTATGAACGTTATCATAGTTACACATTTTATATTACAAAGTACTGATGACATATCTAATTTAGAGAACATCAAGATCAGGTCATATGTTGAATTAACCTTTTAGAATTCTTAATAGGAATATTTAAAGCTATTTAAAAGCAAATGCATACTTTATTGCATGGATATTTGACCATTTAATATCTTTATTAACAAAGCTATAGAGTCACATCAAAGCTTCTACAGCTATATTTCTAAACTACTGCTAGGAATTATATTGCATGTATGACTGTATGCATTTAGTTTGAAATGTGTGCATATCTCTGTATAACTTTTTATATAGTGATAAGATAGGCTCTGCACAGTCCTTAGTCTACAGCTAAACAAATCAAAATCTGAGTTGATAATTTTATGTCATATTTCATACTTTCAACTCATTTTTAAAGTAAAATTACATGCCAATATTTGAACATTGTTTTCTTAGGTAACAGAGCAAACTATTTCCTTTGCACTTTTTTACTTATCAACATTTATTAACAGTTGTTAGTTTTAAGTCTCTTCACCTCAGCAATTTAGGGATCATATTGCTGCTATCTTCTGCAGAATAGCTGATTGATAAGCTCAAGTTTCAAGCATAGTAGGTGTGTGCTAGACAAGCACAGAAGAGTTTGACCAGGGCCAAGGAATTTACTACCAGAAAGATGGCCAAACTTATGCGGCATTATATGATGAACAAAAAGCTGCACTCAAGAAGGGTCTTGGATTTCTTGATGAGCTTTGGACTTCTGATCTATGCGGTATTCAACATCACAGAATGGAATGTAATGGAGGACAGTGCACAGACATGTAATCCACTTTTTCCTGCTGTCCACCCTTTGGGCAATAAAGCCAAACATTGGTGGAGCAGAATTTCTTTAGGAAACAAAACCAGGGGATTTTCTAGATAGAAAAAGGTAGCTTCCAAAAGAGGATGCTACATCTTTTCTAATAGCTGGCTGGCTCAGTTATGCACTTCAAATACATGCCAAGAGAGTAAACTTGCCCTTTGATAATTCTTAGATGCATTACTAAAGAAGGCAGGACTTTGGGTTGAGTGGCATCATTTGCACAACTTGTTATCTTGCTCAGGGTGGGAACCTTTATAGCTAAATGCCTCTAGAAGAGGCATTTGTAGTTTTTCCTTTTTTAAAGTTGTAGTAAATGAACCCCCTTTTGAATCTATTGTATAGTTCAGCATTTTGAACCAGGACCAGCTCACTATTTCGTGAGCCAGAATTTGATAATTTCTATGGTCATTTTTTCATAAAAGTTAAGAAGGCCTGGCCTTGGCCTTTTGTTTCTTCATGAGAAGGTGTGACACTGCCTATAAATGTTTCTTACTCTGAAACACTCCGAATGTGAGGCTGTAGTCAGGGTTGTTTCTGGTGGTTTGATAATGGCTTGCCTACTCTTTATTGGCTCTCCATATCTGTCCTAGTTGATCAAAACTGTACATCAACAAATGTTTCCCTTCTGTTAACCATAGCTTCACATTTATGTCCTACCCTCTGATTTTTCCATCCCCCAGCATATTGAGGTGTAAAAGTATTTTCTATCATGTAGGTCCATAGAGAGTAACAGCTGCCACTGAAGTGCTTCCTATTTCGCACAAACACCATTTCATACTTTCAACTTCTCGCATCTTCTAAATCTATCCTAAATCAGGGTATTTGACAATCTTAGAGGACTCTATTGCCTTTGTGCCAGTTAATTCATCTTCCTACCCAAATCATCAATGGCACCAGTGTCTACCACCTGCACAATTTACCAGGAAGCACAAGATTAATCTTGTCAGTTACAATTCATCTTGAACATGTTCATGTTTAGTACTGAAAAAAGTATGAGCTCCTCCCAATGCAGAAAATATTTTTAAGGCAGAATATATATTTCTTATTTCCTATAAACAATTGTCATTCTCTTTTCAGAAAATGTGTATGAACCAAAGCTGCTAGGAGCAATGCCTAAAATAACCAGAAATGACCTTTTGTTGATACAAATTGTATCTCTTTTTTTCCTGATTGTATAGTAACAAATGTACAAAACTCATCTTAAACTAGGTTTGGTACTGATTTTCACCATGATGTTTGTGGCACTGTGTGTCACAAGGAAGTAGCCCAGGAGACATGAGAGAGCTTTTATTTCCAAATGGCAGGAGTAGTTCATAGACAAAGACAGTTTATCAAGGCCTCTTTATTACTATGTGCACATTGTATATACAGTTTCAAGCATTATATTGCAATAAATTCTCCTTAGCCTATTAAATTTAAATATGTCCTTGCAAAAGGAATTTTGTATATCAACTGTGTTAGTGAGTCATTTGCAGGAATTGGAAAGTACAGCTATACAATTATGAATACATAAACCCAGCTTGTTTCTTAATGAAATTAGAGAAACATTTTCTTTACATGGAGGCCTGCACACTTCTTGACTTTTCCATTGTGTCTGCAATTATAAAACAGCAAATACAAAGAAGCATTGGAACCCACTTGGCTTCCTTGATAATGAAATCAAGCTTTCTTTATGGACCTAAGTGGGTGTCCTTCAGGATATTTACCTCAAAGCACTCAGCAGGGGTTACTGCACAGTGTTTTGTCTGGTTTTCAAGCAGTAGTACATTTTGCAAGAGGTGCTTTGCAATTTTAATTCTTCCACTGAGTTTCTGAACTCATGGAAAGTCTACGCTTGTTCAGACCTTAGATTTTGTAGATTTTGTGATTTTGTGGTTGTTATGTTTTATTTCAACCTGAGGAAGTGTGACTCTGGAGTGGCATGTTCAATCCAGGGAACCTTTTCAAAGGTAGAATACAGCCACTACACTCTCTCTGAGGTGCAAGGTATGGAAGGGAGGAGGACAGATGTCTTTTGGAAATGGCCTACAAACTTTTCTTCTAAGTAATTATTTCTGTCCCTTTCTCTCTCCCCCTCTCTCTGCTAGTTTCCAGGAGAATACTTCTAAATCCCATTTTTCTATTTTAGAATAAACTGTCTTTATACAATATTCAAACATTGATACCCATTAACCTTTGGCGCTGGGTTTTCCTCTAATATAAAATTCATTGGAAATACCATTATATCTATGCTATACAAATGCCCTTTTTGAGAGCCAATTTTTTTTCCTTCCTCCCTCCTTCCCTCCCTCCCTCCCTCCCTTCCTCCCTTCCTCCCTCCTTCCCTCCTTTCCTTCCTTGATACCATTATATCTATGCTATACAAATACCCTTTTTGAGGGCCAATTTCCCTTCCTCCCTCCTTTCCTCCCTCCCTCCCTTCCTCCTTTCCTTCTTTCTTGGAGATACCATTATATCTATGCTATACAAATGCCCCTTTTGAGGGCCAATTTCCCTCCCTCCCTCCTTTTCTCCCTTCCTTCCAGATATGTTTTTATTAGAGAGAGAGAAATATTGATGTGAAAGAGAAACATCGATTAGTTGCCTCTGATACATGCCCCAACTGGGGCTCAAAACTTCAATCTGGGTATGTGTCCTGACCGGGAATCAAACCCATGACCCTTCGGGGTACAGGGAGATGCTCCAACCAACTGAGCCACACTGGCCAGGGCTGAGGGCCAATTTTAATACACTTTGTTTTACTCTGTGAACCAGGTCTGGAACTACACAGGGAAAGTAATGTTAAGCTGTCCAAAGAGTCCTACTCAGGTCTCCTGCTAACTCTTCTCTGCCTTCCCCTAGTTTGCTTCTCCTCAGGTTTGACACTGAAGGAGTATATAGTCGTCAAATGAAATGACTTTAGTTCTCATTGGAAACCAAACCAGTATATTTTGGGAACCTGCGTGTCTAAAGTAGTCAATGCCTTTGAAAAGACTCAGAATGTTCAATATGTATCCATATTGTAGCTAGCTATACACATAGGCAGATTGACTATTTTCCATCCTGGTTTGTGAATCATTGAGCTATAGTAGTTTGCTTTATCTATTTGTAGGATTAAACAATACTGTTTAATGGTTGTAAACTTTTATAAAATCTCTTTGGGTTTTTTGTTTGACCCAAACATAATGTAAGTCTCAATGACAAAATATACAAAGCTAACCAGAGGTGAGTGAAAACATGTTCCATTCCATTTTGTCTGACTCTATAATGCATGTGCAATGCTTTGCAATATGTTCTTACTAGCATGAATGTGCTATGACTATGATGTTTTAATTTGTTTCACCTATAATAGTGATAGAAAATGGTGTATACTTGAGAACAATGAACTGTAACCACACTTATTTACTGCATAAACTATTTGACTACTAACCAGTAATGGCTTTGTTTCTTTAAGAACACGATCAAAAATCATACCACACCCATATACATACACACTCTGGTTTGCTCCTTAAAGAATTAAATTTCTGCCGAAACTGGTTTGGCTCAGTGGATAGAGCATCAGCCTGCGGACTGAAGGTTCCCAGGTTTGATTCCAGTCAAGGGCATGTACTTGGTTGCGGGCACATCCCCAGTAGGGTATGCAAGAGGCAGCTGATCGATGACTCTCTCTCATAAATGTTTCTAACTCTTTATCTCTCTCCTTTCCTCTCTGTAAAAAAAATCAATAAAATATATTTTTTTAAAAAGAATTAAATTTCTGTCCTTGAAACTGCCATCTTGAGATAAGCTATAAGGAGAGGGATCTTCCCAAATTAGTTCAACTGAATTTTATCACAGGAGTTTTTGTCTACCAATACAGCTCTAAATGGCAGTCAACTGAAGATTCCCACAGGCTTTGGTGGGGCAAGGCATTCACTGGTGGGTCAAAATAAGTTGGAGAACTCAGATTTGAGGCTTATTTCTGTAAAGAACCTATAGTTTATCCCCTGAATAGCCTCAGGGTCACAGAGGCATCGTCTGCTGGGCCTTAGAGCTAGAAGCCACCTGGCACGTTATACTTCACAGAAGTCACTCAGGGTTGTACTGAGCAGCATCAACTCTATCAGGTTATAGGTGTGGGAACTGAGATTCCTAAAAATGAAGTAATTTTACCAAAGCTTAATAGGGAGTTAGTGGCAAAGCCATGAATGAAACCCTCACCTCAGTGCTCCAGACCAGTGAGCCCTTTATCACAGGGGTCTGTTCTTCCCTCAGTCCCCTCTGGAGCCTCCTACTCACCCCATCCCTGCCACTCCAAGCCAGTCTCATCATAAAGGCAGAGGTAGCCATAGCTGCAGAGGAATTCAGCCTAAGAGCCTTTGGGAGGGGCTATTCCTGAATCTGAGACTATCTTTTTTTCCCTTTCATTTTCCTTCTTGAGATTAAGAGTGCTCATCTCTCCCCACCCTCTTCCTCTCTGTGTCCTTCCCCTTGCTGCCTTCTCACACATTTCTCAGGCATACTTACGTCAAGTTGTTATTGAGTACCAAATAGGGGCCTGGCCTATATTGGGCTAGGGAGAGATGAAGAGGAGGAAACACTTCCTGTTTGCTGAAACTTGCACTCTAGTGAGGGAATGAAGTACACTTAGAGGAATAAATTAATAAATTAAGACTTTCATTGTTATAGGATTGTACACCTGAAACTTATATAATGTTATTAGTAGATGTTATCCTAATATTTATTTATTGATGAGAGAGAGAGAGAGAGAGAGAGAGAGAGAGAGAGAGAGAGAGAGAGAGAGATTTGTTGTTCCACTTATTTATGCATTCATTGGTTGATTCTTGTGTGTGCCCAGTCCAGGGATTGAACCTTCAACCTTGGTGTATGAAACAATGCTCTAACCAACTGAGTTACTTGGGCAGGGCTAATACATTTAATTTTCTAAAAAAAAAAAAACCTTTCTTGGAGGGCAGTAGCAGCATGAGGGTAGGGGAAGTGATAAAAATAGAATTTCATGAAGGAACAATTCAATGTTCAATGACTCTCCCTAATCATAGGTAGAAAATCAACTAGTCTGACCATAACTCACTGTATGTAGCTTACCTCTCTGGCCTCAAGACCTACATTTTCTTCACATAATATATGTTCCAACCATCCTGAACCCTTTACAGGTGCCCCAACATGCCATGCTCTTTCTTATCCCCTCCAGACTTTTCCCTTCTTTCTAGTCCTTGTTGTGACTAGTACCCTATTGACTTTGAAGACACACTGCTAATGTAACCTCCTCTATTAAGCTGTCCCACCTCTTTGTCCAGATAATGTTAGTCCTTCCTCCAGTGGGCCTTGCAAGTATCTTGAACAATACCTCTATTTTAGTACATGTCACTCTGTTATAATTGTGTTGGCACAGCAGACTCCCCCACAAAACAGGAAGTTCCTTTGGGCAGGAATCATGAGTGAATCTCAATTACTGTTGTTAAATAATATAATCTATGCTCTCTTCCCTTGACTCCCAACTCTGTTCCCAGTTAAATGTGTGCAGTTGAAAGAGTTTCTAATCAATCTGGAGTCAGAAGGAAAAGGCCCAAGGACACTGGGCTAATGTCTTTCCTGGCTGGTCCTTCCCCACACCCCCTACTCATCCCAATCCCTACCCTATCTCTGCCATCTGAAGCAGCCCAACCAGGAACCTTGCTCCACAAATCCCAGGTTCTAGGAGGATTTCAGCCAACAATGACCCTTGCCTCTTACTCTCCTTTCACCTGGACCAGAAATGAACTCAGATAGCCTGCTCCTCATCTTTAGGTCAGTCTTTGAAGGCCAGGAGAAAGCACTTTGTCCAAGGTTATATGAAGACCTGAGATCAAGGCCCACCAACTTGGTATGAACCCATATTACTCATATATACAAAGCATCATAAGCTTTACAGAGCACTTTCACATTCTCTTTTTTGATCCTTGCAACAAGTCTGTGAGGCAAATAGTATTCTCCTACAGATGAATAAACTGTGGCATTATTTATCTCGGGCTGTACTCATTAAGTGACAGAACTTGCCTGAAACACAGGTCTTTGGGTAGCTTTCTACTCTATACCAGTACATCTCAAACTTCACCATGCATCAGAGTCATGTGAAGGGCTTGTTAAACTAGATTGCTGCCCATCTCAATCTTGCTGATTCTGGTTAGAAGTGAGGTTAAATATTTACATGTCTACCAAGTCCCCAGGTGATGCTGATTTTGCAAGAAATGTGGATTTACACCAAGCTATTACGGTAAATTGCTCTGTGCCCTTGGGCTATTTCCTTCCCTTTATGTCTGCCTCAGTGTCTCAATGCCTAAAATGAGGGGTCTAGATTAAAACTATGATCTCTAGGCCCTGGCCAGGTAGCTCAGTTGGTTAGAGCTTCATCTCAATACACCAAGTTTGTGGGTCCAATACCCAGAGTCAGGGCCTATGTAAGAATCAACCAATGAATGCATAAATAAGTGGAAAACAAATCTCTCTCTCTCTCTCTCTATTTCTCAATGCATAAATAAGTAGAACAACAAACTGATGTTTCTCTCTCTCTCTCTCTCTCAAATCAGTAAAGGAAAAAAACAAACTATGATTCCAAACTTTTTAGCCACAAAACCCATTTTGAAAAAAAAAAAAATCCTATGTAGAATACCAATACATACATAGTAGATAAAATTCAGGCTGCTCTAGAGAAGTGGTGGAGGGCAACCAAGAGATTGCAGCACCCATCTTCTCACGGAGCAGGCGGCGCTGAGCTATCTCCCAGAGTACTTTTGCAAGTCTCTTGACTAGATATGGCCTAGATGCTCCTTGAGGGCTCCTGCAGCTCTGACATTTCAGGATGCAAAAGACAGCATTTGTCATTGTAGCAGGAGAGCGAAGAGTAAGAGAAAAACTGGCATTAATAAGTGCAGGAGACTGCTTGACCTGTGCTTAATGCTTAGGTCCACACAGCACAGGAAATCTTAACCTTGTTGGGCTGCTGGCCTCATGAACCTCACAATGTCCCTTTAGTAATTGGATTCGATCTGTGGACCAGCCCTAGAAAAATTATATACATAGCCACAGAGATATTCAGGATATCCTTTAAAAGGTGTTGAGCAGTCCCTAGAGGTCCTAACTCAAGTTAAAACCATTGACAGAGGGCTCTAGCATAACATTTTCATTAAATTCCTCCTTGGCATTTTTTAATTGATTTCAGAGAGGAAAGGAGGGGGAAGATCACTGATGAAAATCATTGATCGGCTGCCTCCTGCATGCCCCCCAGCTGGGGATTGAGCCCGCAACAGGGCATGTACCCTTGACTGAAATCGAACCCAGGACCCTGCAGTCCACAGGCCGACACTCTATCTGCTGAGCCAAACTGGCTAGGGCCCTCCTTGGCATTTTCATAGCATTATCCTTCTCCATCGCACCTTGGCTAAGCCACTTCTTGGACCAGCTTCTTGACTAGAGAGTTGCCTGGTTCCATCCCTTGCTCCCCTCCCTCCTCAAGGTCCAAACTTGGCCCCACAGAGATGCTCCCTGTCTCGCACAGTTAATTACTATTCTCAGAGTTGTGGCTGGAGATACTATAGCTAGACTTGACTTCAGTCAACCACCACTCTGGAAATTTCACCCTGAGAAAAACAAAGAACTTGTGGTGGCATACCGCAGATCCCTTATGACATTTATTCCCAGTTCTTTCTCACTGGGAAGAGGGATCTAAGGAGTGAGAACATGGTTTATTCATCCCTATCTTTCAGTGCCCACCACAGGGAAGTTCATTCTATATTTTCTAGGCCAAACGAGTGGGAAAGTAACAAAAAAAAGGTTACTCTCACTTTCAACTGCTGTTTGGTGCCCAGCGAGGGCAGCAGGGGAAATGAGTCAGAAGCCTGCTGGGTAACATCAGTAAGGTTGGGTGTTCCTGCTGTCTGGGAGGTTCTGAGCAGATTTCCCTGATGCTGGCTGGCCTGTATGTCCAGCAATGCCTCTCTTCTGGGGCCTACAACTGAAAGCAAAAATGGTTTGAGTCAGGAAGAAGGTATGAATGGAGCCTTGTGATAGAAACAATTAGGGAAGAGGGTCCAAGGGGCCCCAGGACCCAGCTCCTGCCCAAAGCCGCAATATGATCCCACCTTCTCTGGAGCCCCAAAATAAAGGGAAAACTACATTGGTCTGCCCCAACACATACCCCTCGTCTCATAAACACCAAAACAACAGTTGCCTGTTTATTATTTTTCAAAAGGACAAAAACAAAAGCAAAAACAATCAAAATGACATTGTGGTAAACGCTGAGCCGATGTGGCTGCCAAGGACTGCCTCCCAGGTTGTTCGATGGAACATCAGGTGCACTGAGGGTGGACTCCTGCCCCAACAGAGGTGGTCCCGGGATGGACATCAGAAGAGCTGCAGACCAGTTTTGAGCCTGTGCAGCTGAACCTGGCTCCAGAGAAGGCCCTCCAAGTTGTTGCTGCCGTTGCTACAGTTGCCATTATCGGTGCCACAGCTCAGGCCCAGGTTGCTACGGAGAGGTGGGACAGTCAGGGAAGGAGGCAGCTCTAGGATCTGGAAGGGCTAAGGGTGCTCAATTGTGTATCTATGGGAGGGCCCACCATCCTGCCTGTATTTACAAAGAGATTAGAGCAAATCTAAGAAACCACTTCAGATAACCCCCAGGAGTGGCTCTGTCCTCCCCTCACTTGAGAAAGGGGAGGAATAGAACTTTTCAAATGAAATTTTATGCAGAGCCCCCGTATATAAACCAGATTAAAGCAGAGATATTTGGGTTGAGGTAGGATGGGGGACCAGCACTACCCCACCCACAGGAAGATATTAAAAGTGACTGCCGTAACAGGCCTCTTCCAAGGCTCTACAGCTTGGGGGCCCAGAGAAGCCTAGGCTGGATCCCTCCCACCCCAACAGCTAGTTAAGGGCCTCAAGGCCAGGTTTGAGCTCTAGGACTAGGCCCAGCTCCCAAGCCAGGATTCTAACATTGCTTTAGGAAAACACTACACCGTCCCCTTCCCTGGACCTGCTCAGAAACTCTGGCTTCCCCTGCTTCCTGCAGGTCAAAGGACCTTCCAGGTAGATGAGGGGGACAGCTGAGAGCAAAACCATTATCCTATCCTCAGGCAGATCCATTGTTATACTAGAGCAGTGGTATGCAAACTTATTAGTCAACAGAGCCAAATATCAGCAGTACAATGATTGAAGTTTCTTTTGAGAAGCAATTTTTTAAACTTAAACTTCTTCAAAACAGACTCGTCCAGGCCATGGTATTTTGTGGAAGAGCCACACTCAAGGGGCCAAAGAGCCGCATGTGGCTCGCGAACCGCAGTTTGCTGACCATGGTACTAGAGTATCTAAAAAAATGTTACAGATGATTTAGTCTCATTCCCACTCATTACCCACCAATTTACAGACAAGGGAACTGAGGCCCAGAAATGAAAAGGGACTTGCCCAAGCCACAATGCCAAGTCAGCGGGGAAAACCTGGTACAATGGAGGAAGCCTCCCTACTATAGGGAGTGTGGGAGCTGGCCCAAATTAGCTTCCTTCTGCAATTAGTTTTACCTTCCCACACTTCACCTTTACTACCCTGGTGTTCATCAAGCCAGTTATTACCCAAGGGAAGAGGCGGTCTCTCTCTGATGTGTGGACCCAACTCTCAACTACACACTATCTGGCTTCCCCAGCTGCTTCCACCCCTCTCTCCAAGAAGTCTGCTGTCTCCTAGCCTTGGACAGTGAGTTCATGGCACTGCCTTGGGCCTGGCCAGCTGATAGCCTCTGAGTTCTATAGCCCTCTTCCCAAATGTCCAGAGGAAGAGGGGCTCATCTCCCAGGGGCCAGGCAGGCAGCACAAGGATAGACTCTTAGTTTCAGGGTCCCACAAAGGTCTCTCTCTGGTACTCACAGGAATCCCCTAGTCACAGTGGCCTTCCATTCTGGAATATACAGGCTCACAGGATAGGCTCCTTTGTGTGACTGCCAGCAGAGCCCTCAGTAAGGGCTGCGTGGTTCCTGCCTCCCTGATGACCCAAGAGTTCCCTCGCCTGTGATACAGAGGTGAGTTTTGACGGAGAGCATGAAGCTATGTGCAGGCCTTGCTACCAAGATTCCTGTACAGTGTAGGGAGATCAATGATTACTCTGTGCACCTTTGGACAAATCCCTTCCCCTTTCCGGGCCTCAGTTTTCTCCTCAGAACATGAGGAAATTGGATTAGAGTATCCATTCTTGACTTTTTGGGAGTGGTTGACACTTTAGAGCAAGCATGTCAAATTTGTGGCCCGCAATGCGGCCCACGTTTGCAGCCCAGCCAATATAACGGGATGTAAGAAACATTTTAATAAAGATTTTGTAACTTGATTTTTACAATATCCTGTTATATATAATTATTAATAACGAACTACAAGGTTCGCTAATGACTGATTACTTTAATTGTGTTGTATTCATTTCTCTTACGTGGCTTACGCACAGGCTCACCATGTCTCTCCACTAATACTAGCAGCGAACATTTTAGCAGTCGATTGCCATGCCTTTAGTCTTGGACTGACCTGTTTGGTGTGCGCAACAGAAAATATTTTTCTTTCAGAGAACAAGAAAAACAGGTTTACTTGTATTATGCTTTTTAATTTGTGCAATTATTCAGTGTCTGGTAAGTTAATGTTCAAGAAAAAATATTAATTTTTATTAACATGTTCTATTATTTTATTAATGATACTCATTTATTTCAGCCCTTTGTATTCAGCATGTCTCAAAATAAACCCATGTTTCTATGAAAATTGAAGCTTTTGGGGTTTTTTTTGTGCCCACATAAACAAACGTTGTTTATTTGGCCCGTATTAGCCTTTGACTCTGCCATGCTTGCTTTAGAGAATCTTGAAAGCTTCAGAACTCACTCCTCCCGAAATGCACACGTGTGTGTGTACACACACACACACACACACACACTTACAAATGGACAAAAATTTGATGCAATCTAAGAGAGGCGCCAAGCCAGTTCTACGTGGCTGCCTCACTGGCTCCCCTCACTGGGGACTGGGAGCCCTTACAAGGGCCCAGCCAGAGAATGGAACTATGCTTAATTCATTTAGGCCCTGGCTGGGGACAGGTACCTTCCCACTCACCCCACTCTGTGTCTTCTCCTCCCTTCCTTCTTCCTGCCTCCCTCTTGAAGGAGACAAAAGACACTTACCCTATCTTGTGTGTTGGGGGTTCTAGCCGCTGCTCTAGCACAGGCTGGTCCAAAAGATACATGGTGTCGTAATTCTCCAGCATAAGCTCTGCTGGGTCCTCGGTCTGACCTGGCATTCGGCCTATGGGGAAGGAGCCCCACTGCACATCTTCTGTGGAGCAAAGGGAGGTGACAAGAGCAGGTTGATTGGTTAGTTCTCAGACTGGTGCACAGGTCTACCTCCCCAATCTACCCACCCATCTCAATGAGCCCACTCAGCATAGGCTTTGTGTATCTCTAGCCTCATTCCTCTGCATCACTTCTCTTGAGTTCCTTTCCACCTTACCACCTCCCTACCCCTTCCACACTCCCTCTTACACCCTTTATGATCTTTCTTCCTTTTTGTGTTCACACACACAAACACCACCTCCACCCACCCCCGCCACCCACACAACATGCACATAACTACATGCACTTTTATTCCTCTCCACTCTTCGCCCACGTCCCCAGAAATGTTCCTACACACAACATCTTCAGATCTGGCTATATTACTATGTAAACCTCCCACCCTCACCCTATTTCCGTATACACACAAATCCTGGGAAGTCTTGATGCCCCAGAATTTCCACCATATCTTCTCCCCAAACCCACAGATACCAGTATTTTCCGGCGTATAAGACGACTTTTGAAACAAAAAAAAAAAGCCAACCGAAAATCGGGGGCAAAAGACCAAAATTGCACAAAAATTACCTGCAGATCTTGATGGCAAAGTAAGTCTTTTCTTTGAAGTGGGGGGGTAGTCTTATACAGCGAATATAGGCCTAAACCTATGTTTTAACTGTAAAATTAGGGGGTCGTTTTATATGCCGGAAAATACGATACCTCAGAGCATCAGAATGATCTGGATTTCCTACATATATACACACAAACTCCCTGACCTGCTTAAGGCCACACCACTTTTTAGGCCTTGTGACATTTACATTCCACCTGAGCATGGACTCCCTCTCAGAGATATTATGCTCCCCCGGTTCTTTGCAAGATCTTATTTCCCCCAGCTGCAGACACAAAGAACAACTCTTCTCTAGGGAAGGACTGTCTCACTGCATATCCCAGCCTCCACCACCACCTAAGTACATACAAACACCCAGACCAAGTCCTCTGTTCAACAAATGTTCCGTTTCACTCCCTGCTTCCTACACCTCTCATGCTCAGGCACACAACCCAGAAGTCTTTTAAGATTTTTATAGGTTTTTATTGATTTTAGAGAGAGGGAGAGATAGAAATATCGATGAGAGAGAAACACTGATTAGCTGCCTCCTGCATGCCCTCACTGGGGATTGAGTCCACAACCGGGGCACGTGCCCTGACTGGGAATTGAACCATGTGTTCCTGGTTCACAGGTCAACACTCAACCACTGAGCAACAACCACCAGGCACAACCCAAAAATCTTAGTGTCACTGCATCCCCACATGTGTATGCACATAGAGCAAGCAATGGCAAAAATGAGAGGGAAAAGTTTTAATGTTCTAGCTTTTCCATGTTCACAAACTATTACTTACCTTCCTACCCCACACAAACTCCACAAAAAAACGGACTATGTCAGGCACTCTCCACCTGCTCTGCTCTATCACTTAAATACCCTCCACACAATATTATACTAAATCCCTGTCCCCATCTTTATACCAGTACATCCAGTGTTTTCAAGCAAAGCTTTCAGTAGTGAGCTTCTCCAAGTAGATCCAATTTCTGCCTTCTGAGTCTCCCTGGAACCCAAAGAATTCTCCCTGTCACAATGCCCCTAACATTCTGGAAAGTACCAACCCTGGACTACGTTTTCTAAAATATATATTTTTATTGATTTTAGAGAGATTAGAAACATCAATGAAAGAGAAATAGTAACATTGATTGGCTGCCTCCAGCACTCCTCCTGCTGGGGATTGAGTCCACAACCAGGGTATGTACCCTGAGCAGAAAGCAAAATGGTGACTTCCTAGTGCATGGGTTGACACTCAAACACTGAGCTACACAGGCGAGGCTAGACCAGCTTTTTATGTTATCCACAGAAGCCCCTCAGAAAGGGCTGTTCCCTTGCTTGCCTATTTCCCCACCGCTGGCTCTTTTATAGGAAGGAAGTTATGCCTGTCTTGATGCCCTACATTGCCCTGTGCATACAAAGGTATCTTTGTATACAGGGACTTATGCCCATGTCATTAACCTGACTGATGATCCTTCCTTCCCATCACTAACATCCGAAACTATGTCTATGTCACTGCCCCTGCCTCTCTAGTCAAACACTCTTACACATGTTCCTTCAGTGACAGCATGAACATACATAGGTGATCTCTGGATCGCTGTCTCACTGCCTGTTCTCATGTCTTTCCATATATTCCACCTCATTGCTGCCACTTCCTTGCCTCATTCAGATACCTCCTGGCAACCCTGCCTCTTCTTTTTAAAAACATGCATGACTATGTGTGCATATATCACAGAAGCATATTCAGTAACCTCACAATGATCTCTTTTCACATCCCCTTACACACACACACACACACACACACACACACACACACACACAAAAAAAAAAAAAAAAAAAACACACACAAAAAAAACAAAAAAAAACCTCCCTGCTTCAATTCCCCTCATTTTTGATATTTACAAAGACTCACAGACACAGACCTCCTTCCCCTGAGATATTTCTGTCACTCTGCCTTGGTTTGTCCAGCACATGCAGGCACACAGCCATTCACACACACACACAGACATAAGCATAGTCTTTTATCCCTACTACTCAGAGCTTTTATGCCCCAGCCCTTCCATCACATCCACACAAAGGCAAAGGCTCCACTTTTCCCCTGTTTCTTCACTGCATCCCCTCTCTCTCCCTGTTGTTCCTCACCATGCCACCCTACACCACCTTAGTCCCAGCTGTCTTCCCTGCCTCCCTCAGTCTCCATAACAGACTGTGCCCCACATCTAAATACGTATGCATACACACATGCCCATGCACACACACCAGACTGTTCATTCCTTTGGGGTCTCCCTGCTTTAAGATTCCTGCTCCCTAACCTAAATGACGGCACTCAAAACACCACCTTTCAGGGGAAACAGATTCATGTTCCCACACTTTATCACACAATTCTCCCTGCCTTCTCCAAGTTTTGTCTCACTAGCTTATGTGCTCACCTAAAAACCATGTCACTCCTTATTTCACTATTCTCATCTCATTTCTACTTCTTGATTTAATGCCTCTTGGTTCCTTCTTTCTCATACACAGAGCAAAATCCTGTCTCATCATCATCCAGCCCCCATGTGTACATACACATTCCCATATACACAAAAAACACTCCTTTGTCTCTCTGTCCCTGCACTACTGTGTGATGTGAAAAACACATGCAAAATCAGCATATATCTACCCTCTACCTCTCCCTTTCTCCTCTATGTTTTGCTACACAGGGTCATACCCACACTATCCCCTCTGAATGTGCTCTCTGCATGAAGTAGTTGGCAACATGACAGGGCTTAGATACCTGGCACCTACCTACTGTCCTAAAGGGGAGGGAAGCCAGCTGTCATCCATATACTAGGCTGCCTCCAAGGCTTGCATCACATGTGCTACCTTCTGCTACTTCCAATTTCTTCTCCAGGATGGAGAAAAGCCTCAAGAGGCAGCCTGAGAGAACAGATGTGTGTGGGGACAAAGTATATATCAAGCTTCTTACCCGAGCTAACTTGCCACGCAGAACCCTGCAGTGCTCCTCTTTTATGGGCCAGAAGCATGGCATTCTCAATAGTGGGGGACTCTTCCTCCAAAGTATCGAACTCCATTCTGTCTTCCTCCTCCTCGTCTTCATCATCTTCGTCGTCATCATCTTCATCCTCCTCCTCCTCCCACTTCTCTTGGTAATCATTTTCCTCGTCTTCCTCTTCTACCTGGTCTTCCAAGACCTCACTCTCCTCTATCTCATCTTCCTTGACATCATTAAGGTCACCCGTCTCCTGCTGCAGAGCTTCTCCTTCAGGCCTACAGTTGGGGCCAGAGGGTCTGAGGCTCCAATACAGGCTGTCCAATGTGTATGCAGACTTTCCAATAGGGGAAGCCTCTGAGCCCTCCTCCACCGGCCTGTTTTTTCCATTCTGGGTATAAATGGAACAGATATGCATCAGCTTCTTCTGATCCTCATCTGGCAGGACCTGTCCCATGGCTTTGAAGATGCTGAGCAAAGGAAGGGATGGGGTAAAAAAGATTCACAACCTCAAGTCACTATATACCCACTATTCCAGAGTTTGAAATTGTCTATGAGCTTCCACATTTGCCTCTAAAAGGCAGTGTAATAGAGCGAACAGAACACAAAAACAAGGCTATCGACCCTGAACCAGCTCTATGATTCATCTATGTGGCTCACTTCCATTCTCAGTAAAATGAGGACAATAATAGCACCTGACTGATAGAATGCCTGGCACAGTGCTTGACACATAGTGGGCATGCAATAAATGATAGCTACTTAAATCTGGATTAAAATGTTATGTAAATATACAAACTAACCAAAAGGCTTATAGACCTGGACATGAGAATGGCATATCTTCTGGCCTAGCTGAGCAATCTCTCTTGAACTCTCAAAATATGCCTGAAAGTGTGCTGGGCTTCTCTGAGTGGAACAAAAGTGTGATCCCTCTCTGGGAACAACTACAGTCAGCCTGGAATGGCTAAAAAGGAAAAAAAAAAAAAAAAAAAAAAAAAAAAAAAAAAAAAAAGCAGCAGCTGACAAGACAAAGCAGGATGTGGAAGGGATGCCAGATGAGCACTGAGGACCTCAGGCACTATTGGAGCGTGGGGGAGGAAGAAAGCACAAAGACAGCAGGAGAGATCAAGGGAGGACTTCATGCAGAGGCAAAAGTGAGCACACTGTGCTGTGTGCATGTGGTGAGACAAGCCTGGTTCAAAGGGGAAGGGCTGTGCTGAGGAGCTGTGTGGAGCACAGGCTGCAAAGGTTAAGTGTGTGTGTTGGGCGGAAAGGGTCACCTGATGACTGAGCACAGATGAAGGCTGCGTTTTTGAAGATCACTATGGTGCCTGTGTGGAAGATGGCCTGGATGAGACAGCCTAGAGGCAGGGAAACCAGGGAGAGTCAGTGAGGGCTGACCTAGAGCACTGGCAGTGGAGATGGGAGGGAGAGAAGCCGTGAGGACAGATAGACAGAGCAGGGCTTGATGATCATCTGGCAAGAGTCAGACGGGGAGAGTTAAAGATGATGACATGGTTCACACAAAGGACAGCACTAACAGCAAAACAAGGAGCAGACAGAGCCGTTGGGAAAGAGCTCCTGGGGAGGAAGAGGGTGAGCACTCCTTGCAGAACCTCACATAGAACTAGGCACCTAGCAGGCACCTGGTCACTGATGGAGGCATGCGTGGGTAGACAGATGGACAGTTTCTTCTAGGTGCATCACGTTTGAACTGTGAACTGTTCATGGAAGGGCCATATAATCTGAGGGCGCTCTCCTTTTTCTGCACCTCACAGGCAGACTGGCCACATATGAGTGGTCTCTGGTCACTGGTCACAGGGGACAGGACTGAGGGCTAGTGATTCTACTGGGAGACTGGGGACCTTCTCTGCAGGGCTAATTTCATGTTGCAAGAGGACACTGACTCAAATTGAATTTATATTGGCTGGCTGGGGGAAGCTCTTGAAAAGCTTCTAGCCCTATCAGAGGAAAAGTCAAGAGAGACACTCTTCCCTCTCATGGTGGCCCATTAGTATGATTAATAATAAATATTACCAGATACTTGACATTGCAGTATCACTGCTGTTTATTATTAGCTACCTGCTATCTCAAGCTGTCTAGTCTGACCACTGAGGTGCAAAGGTGATATGTATCTTTTTTAAAAAATATATTTTATTGATTTTTTACAGAGAGGAAGAGAGAGGGATAGAGAGTTAGAAACATCGATGAGAGAGAATCATCGATCAGCTGCCTCTTGCACCCCCCCTCCTGCAACCAAGGCACATGCCCTTGACCGAAATCGAACCCGGGACCTTTCAGTCCGCAGGCCGACGCTCTATCCACTGAGCCAAACTGGTTTTGGCTGATATAAATCTTAAAATGCATCTCCTTTCTTGGGTTTGCCCGTCACAGTTCAGGTTGGTGGAAAGATGATGAACTTTGGACTTATGAGACATGTGTCCAAATCCCTGCCCCAACATCAACAAACAATTGGACTTCTGGATAAGTCACTTTGCTCCTCAGAGCCTCAATGTCTTTATTATTAATATCTGCAAAATAAGGGTATTCAATCTCCACCTTCAAAGACTGCTGTGTCTAATGAAATAACATACAAAAAACACAGCACCATGTCTGACATCTAATTGCCACTGGTATCTTTTCTTTTTCCTCTGGGGAAAACAAAAGTCAACTTTTTTAATGTATCTAATAACACATGCTTTTTGCAATATTGCTATCTAATGGAACACTGTAGAAAGAGCACAGGAGTAAGGAAAGTATATCTGGATTTTAGCCTCAGCTCTGACTTGCAGACTTGCTACTGACTTGTAGCATAACACCTGGATAAATCCTTTTTCCCGATCTGTGTAATGGGATGATGTTGACTACATTCATTAACTGGGAAAAGCAGGATCTCTGCACAAGAAATCGTGCCTAAGTGAACCACTGTTACTGCTGGCATGTGTATGCTTTGGTTGGGAGATCTCTATGGTCCAGACTTTTCCTAACCAGAAGCTTCTACTCTGAAGGCACTTAGGATTGAAAAGTACCTTGAAGGACACCTATCCAAAACTCTCCATGCTGATCTTTTCACAGCCTCCTTCCATTACATACACATGCTATGTTCCTTCTAGCTTTGAAACTTCCTTTATTCTTTTCTGTGCTCAAATTGCTCCAATGCCTCATCTGTGATGCTTTCCTGACCCTTCTAGGCCTTTTTGGTTATCCTCCCAGTTTCCCACCCATCCATATCACTTCCAGTCTAGAGCATACACATCTGGAGATTTGGCTCTTTGGTTCAGTCCGATCTCCTACAGGTCTTGCCCTGGCTGACTTTGTATACAGGCTACTTTTTTCTCTTATAAGCTGCTGCTGCTGCTACTACTACTACTAGTAGTACTACTAATAATAATAATAAAAAAGGAGAAACATGTAAATTGATCGTACCTCCATGACACCCACCAGCCAATCAGGAGTGAGTATGCAAATTAACCTAATGAAGGTGGTGGGTTAATTTGAATACACAGGCGCAGGACAGAGAGCAGAGCAGGAGAGCTGGCAGAGTGGAATGGCTTGGGGAACTTGGCTCCCCAAGCCGCCAGACAGAGAGCAAAGAGAAAGACCTGGCAGCTTGGAGACTTGGCAGAGCAGGAGGCTATAGGACAGAGACAGAGCAGGAAGGGAAAACCAAGAGCGTGGGGAACACCAAGAATTCTGGGAAAAGTAGTTCTGGTGGTAGCCCCAGGACCAGAATCAGAAGCCCAGAGGGTGGGGAGCACCAGGAATGCTGGGAATCGTAGTTCTCCCATCCAAGTACTAACCAGGCCAGACCCTGCTTAGCTTCCGAGATCAGACGAGATCGGGCGCGTTCAGGATGGTATGGCCGTAGACTTTTTTTTTTTTTTTTTTTTAATATATTTTATTGATTTTGTACAGAGAGGAAGGGAGAGAGATAGAGAATTAGAAACATCGATGAGAGAGAGTCATCGATCAGCTGCCTCTTGCATACCCGCTACTGGGGACATGCCTGCAACCAAGGTACATGCCCTTGACTGGAATCGAACCCGGGACCCTTCCGTCCCCAAGTCGACGCTCTATCCATTGAGCAAACCTGTCTCGGCCGTAGTTCTGGTGGCAGACGGATCTCCTAGACACTACAGCAAAGTGAGCCTGGAGCAAGTTACTATTGCAGTGGGAGATGGAGGGAAAGCAAAGTTGAGAGACATAAGTAAAATAAGAGTGTCTAGGAAAAATTAAAGGGAAGATATCCTAAAACTTCCAGGAAAACTCCACCAATGAAGCAAAGAAAAAATGCCTCTATTATTCTGTGAGCAACAAACCAAACTGGGTTAGGATCTCAGCCAATTTGCTCATATGATTGTAAAGACAGACAGAAATCCTGGATTGGAGAGGGCTCCCCTGAGGGCTCCCAGATTGGAGAGGGTGAAGATCAGGCTGAGTGACCCGCCCCCCCTGCACTAATCTTTGTGCACTAGGTCCTAGTAATAATAATAAAAGTAACTACTTGCCCACGGTCATCACTCCTATTTGACATAAATGTTGGAAGCATTAGCCGTTGCAATTAGACAAACAGAAATAAAAGGAATCCAAATTGGAAAAGAAGAAGTAAAACTGTCCTTATTTGCAGATGACATGATACCGTACATAAAAAAACTGAAAGACTCCATAAAAAAACTATTAGACTTAATAAATGAATTCGGCAATATAGCAGGATACAAAATTAATGCCAAGAAATCTATGGCATTTCTATATACCAATAGTGATCTTACAGAAAGAGAGACTAAAAAAGCAACCTCCTTTACCATAGCACTAAAAAAATTAAGATACATAGGGATACACTTAACAAAGGTGGTAAAAGAACTATATGCAGAAAACAATAAGACACTGAAAAAAAGAGATACAGGAAGACATAAACAAATGGAAGAACATACCATGTTCATGGATTGGTAGAATCAAAAGCATTAAAATGTTCATACTACCCAAAGCAATCTATGATTCAACGCACTCTCCATTAAAATACCAATGGCATATTTCAAAGATATAGAATAAGCTCTCCAAAAATTCATCTGGAATAAAAAAAGACCTCGAAGAGCCACAGCAATCCTAAGAAAGAAGAACAAAGTAGATGGGATCTCAATACCAGATTTCAAACTGTATTACAAAGCCACTGTTCTCAAAACAGCCTGGTACTGGCACAAGGCCAGACGTTTAGACCAATGGAATAGAATAGAGAACCCAGATATCGACCCAAGCCATTATGCTCAATTAATATTTGACAAAAAAGGCATGTGCATACAATGGAGTCAAGACACTCTCTTCGGCCAAAACCGGTTTGGCTCAGTGGATAAAGCATCTGCCTGCGGACCAAAGGGTCCCAGGTTCGATTCCGGTCAAGGGCATGTGCTTGGTTGCAGTCATATCCCCAGTGGGGGGTGTGCAAGAGGCAGCCGATCGATGTTTCTCTCTCATCGATGTTTCTCTCTCATCGATGTTTCTCTCTATCCCTCTCTCTTCCTCTCTGTAAAAAAACCAAAAAAAAAACAAAACAGTCTCTTCAATAAATGGTGTTGGGAAAATTGGACAGATACATGTAAAAAATGAAATTAGACCACCAACTTACACCATACACAAAAATAAACTCAAAATGGATAAAGGACTTAAACATAAGACAGGAAACCATAAAAATAATAGATGAATGCACAGGCAGAGAAATCTCAGACATATGTGGAAGCAATTTCTTCACTAATACCACTCCTAGGGCAATGGAAACTAAAGAGAAAATAAACAAAGGGGACTACATCAAAATAAAAAGTTTTTGCATAGCAAAAGAAAGCATCAACAAAACAACAACAAATCCTAGTGTATGGGAGGACAAATTTGCAATGTTATCGCTGATAAAGGTTTAATCTCCAACATTTACAGGGAACTCATACAACTTAATAAAAGAAAGATTAATGATCCAATAAAAAAAATGGACAACAGATCTATATAGAATCTTTTCTAAAGAAGAAAGAAGGCCAAGAGACATATGAAAACATGCTCAAAGTCACTAATTATCCGAGAGATGCAAATCAAAATGATAATGCAGTACCATCTCACACTTGTCAGAATAGCTATCATCAACAAATCAACAAATGACAAGTGCTGGTGAGTATGCAGAGAAAAAGGAACCCTCATGCACTGCTGGTGGTAATGCAGACTGGTGCAGCCACTGTGGAGAACAGTATGGAGTTTCCTCAAAAAACTAAAAATGGAACTCCCATTTAACCCAGTAATCCCACTTCTAGGAATATATCCCAAGAAACTAGAAACACCAATCAGAAAGTATATATGCACCCCAATGTTCATAGCAGCACAATTTGCCATAGCTAAAATTTGGAAACAGCCTAAATGCCCATCAGCAGATGAATGGATTACAAAACTATGGCACAGTACATCTACACAATGGAATACTACTCTGCTATAAAAAAGAAGGAATTCCTACCATTTGTAGCAGCATGGATAGAACTGCAGAGCATTATGCTAAGTGAAATAAGCCAGGCAATGAAAGAAAAATACCACATGATCTCACTCATTTATGGAAAATAAAGAGAATTATAACCTGATGAACAAAAAGATAGATACAGAGGCAGTAAAGCATGGAACAGACTGTCAAATTATAGCAGGAAGGCTGGGGAGTGTTGGGGAGGGGGGAAAAGAGATCAACTGAAGGACTTGTATGCATGCATATAAGCACAACCAATAGACACAAGACATTGGGGGTGAGTGGGTCAGAGGTTAGGGGAGGCTGGGGGAAGGTCAATGGAAAAAAAAAAGGTATATGTACTACTATATGTAATACTTTAAACAATAAAATGAAAAAAATATTTTAAAAAAAGCAACTACTGAGCCCAAAAAGGCATCAGGATCATGAAAGACTTTCTGGCCCTAGTCAGTTTGGCTTAGTGTATAGAACATTGGCTGGTGAACTGAAGGGTCCAGGGTTTGATTCTGATCTCGGTTGCAGGCTTGATAGCCAGCCCTGGTTGGAGCATGTGCGGGAGGCAACCAATCAATGTTTCTTTCTTACATAGATGTTTCTCTGTCTCCCCGCACCAACTCTGTCAAAAAAAAAAAAAAAAAAATCTATGGAAAAAATATCCTCCAATGAAAATTAACAAAACAAAAAAAGACTTCCTGACTCTATTGGGGGCATCAGGGGACTAAGAGGGTCTTGGCATCCAGATTCCCACTTCACTCATTTTCCAGCATGGATTTATCTCCCACCAAAGACAGCCCTGCTGGCAAAGACAGCAAATTTTAGTTTAGTTCAGCAACATTTACTGAGACCTGTTTGGGGCCTGGATTTGTGTGGTGTGCTGGGGCACAGATGGGTAATGCAGAGCCCTCGCCCTTGACAGGCATAGTCTGATAGATGGAAAGAGACGTTAGGAGAAATAGACATGGCAACACAAAATCTCAGATTTGGGAAGTACTTGAGAATCAACATGACAGGGAGTTTGGCCTGAGAATAAAAAATCATACCTCTGCAGTGGCAGCAATCTGCAGGGCTATGTGGTTTTCTCCAGCAGAGCTCAGCTCCCTGGGCTGAGGAGTGGGTGAAGCAGAGTGGGTATCAATTCCAACTCGGAGGTTTGCAAGACAGATACACCAAAGAATGAGCAGAGCCAAGGGTGCTGATGAGTGGCTGAAGTGATCAACACAGGACTGAGGGGAAGCAAGGTCGAGGGAGGTAGGAAATGGAGGGATGGAGGTTGGATGCAGGCAAAGAGCAGATGCCATGGAATGTGAGGATGAGGGCCAGAAATAAGGATAAGAGGTGGTGGTCACTGACTGGGATACTGGGATGTCAGCTTTCAGAGACTGAACAGCTCTGAGTGATGGAAATGGATTGCTGAGTGTCATGGAGAATGAAGATCACTGGAGTTGAGGAGCTGCAGAGAGTTAGATGAGTCACTCAAATGAAACAGATATTGCTCCAGAAAGAAGGAAGAGAAATCGGGTGCTAAAGCCTCCCATGAATGTGAGGGAAGTGGCTCAGGGTGAGGAAGTGACAGAGAAAAGGGAAGGGAGACAACCACAGATGTTTATAGGAACAGTACAATATCTAGTTTGACCACAGTCCCCAGGGTGAATGGGTAAAGGGGTTATGAGGTGGGGTTACCATGATAGGTTGGGACAGAAAGATCTTTGAATGTCATCTAAGAAACCTAGATGTCATCAGGAAGGCAATATAAAGCCACTGAAGGTTGCAGAGCACCTATAGGGGGTATACTTTGGAAAGAAAATAGAGAAGACAGCACTAAGCTTTGAGTCATAAGACTGGGTTCAATAATAAACCTCAGCTACCATTTATTGTACACTCACTCTGTACAGGCCACTGGCAAACCACTCTAAGGGGGTTGTCTCATCCATTCTTATATTGGACTCAGTCCGTTTCTTAAACTGTGTGATGTTAGACAAGAATATCCTACTCTTCTCCAAACTGGGACTCAGTTCTCCCATCAATTAGTAGGAGGGCGATGGGACTAGGTATCCTTGCAAGGGCTGGTCTGACTCTGCCATTCTAAGGCTATGAGACTATGAGCTGCAGTGCTTCACTCTCTCAGATGGAATTCAAGAGACTTACAGCTGAAGGAGATGGGGGCTGGCCCAGCAAGGTGAACGCAAGCAAGACTCAACCACCCAGGGCCAGTCAAGGGTTGCAGAGCAGTTGAATAGCCTCCAGCTCTTTCTTGCCTCCCACTGGACTGCAGAAAACCGGCGGGCATTCCGTCCTGAGAGAGAAGAGAAAACCTGAGAAGAAGGAACCAGTAAGCCCCTATCCAACCTTAAACTTTGAAAAGCTTGACTTTGTCCTCCCCACCCAAACCCCAGATTGCCCACTCTATACTGCTCAAAGCATTCTGGTGGCCCTTTGCCTCCAGCTCAGTTTAGTTGGCTCTGAGCAGAAGACAGGTGAAGGAAGATTTGTCCACTATTGCCACAAGGCCCTCTTAGGCAAACCTAAACCTTTAACAAAGGATGTGTCCACCTGGTGCTACTTAGCCATGCTGAGAACAGTAGCAGATACTCCTGTCTGGGCTGGGTAGGCCCCGGGGCTAGGACTAGTCCTCCTCACCAGTCTTGGTGTTAACCACGATCAGTTCAACCGTCCATCTGAGGAGGTAGGTGGGCCGGATTCCACTGTTCCCCAAAGCTGGCAACTCGGAGAACATCCTCTCTAGCAGGGCCTGTGTGAAGGTCTGGGAGTGCAGGCCCCTGAGCAGAGGCTGCCAGAATTGAGAGAACGGCTTTGGTACCAGGATATCATTGAAGTCCACGTTTTCTGGTTGTAAGGGCCACACATTGAAAGAGAAAGCAGAGGTGGGGGTGCAAAGGGAGACAGGGAGGGGGGGTAGAGGAAAGAAGAGAAGGAAGGATGGAGGAAGACAAGGGGGAAAGGAAGGGGAGGAGAGAGAGGAAAAAAAGAGAGGGGGCCCCACCACCAACAAAAACAGAGTTGCCATTGCAGAATAGGAGGAAAGAGAAAGAACAGAGCAGCAGGGAGAGAAACTAATTAGTATCAGACAAGGAACAACTGACTCAAAACAGTATAAAAGAAGAAGAGCTCTGATTTCTAGCTTCAGCTCTGTCAATAACTCACTGTGTGACTCTGGGTCAGTACATTCCCCTCTCGGGACCTCAGTCTGCCCATCTGTAACATGAGGATGTTGAACTAGATGACCTCACAAGGCCCTTCCAGTTCTGCTGTTCTAGCTGTCTAACAAGTGGCTAAATGACAATTAACACAGCACAATAATGGCATTAAGATTCCCCCAACCCAATCCAACCACCGCTCAGCCCACACAATTCCAGGCCACCTAAGAAAAGCCCTATAAGGCTTATAATAAGGCTACCTGTTCTGCTCAGCCCAGTTGGGCTTCCAGAGTCTATGGAATGGCAGGAAACAACCTTTCACCCCCAGCCCAACCCTGATGTTATTGCCCAAAAAACAGAAGCCTAGGCAGTAGTGAGCCCCCAAGACCCTACCTTCATACTCTATCTGCAAAGCTGCCAACTGCTCAAATGTGGGGATGAGAAAGCCATCATCTAGAAGAGCATCCAGCACAGCTTCCCTGGAGAAAGATGACACTCAATTAAACAAACTGAAGCCAGATGGAAGACCTTCTCCTACTCCCCTGTCTACTCCCAAGTGGCCAAAGCAGCATGGGTGGGGGAAAAATAGTTGACAGTTGGATCTCAGGCTTCAGCCTCCTGGGGTAAGGGCTGGGCCAGAGACTGAGATCAATGGGTTTTAAACAGTGTTTACCAAGCACATGATGACCTAAGGCCCATAACAAGGGCAGCAGCGATAGAACAAGACTGAAAGCTCAGATAGAGAAAAGTCTAAGGTCCACAGAGGAGTTAAACATCTGGAGTCAAAGGGTCAAGGGATTTCACACGTTAGTTCCTGCTCAGAATGTGTCTCTGGACAGTACTCCAGTCTCCTACCTCTCCATTTCTCCCGAGTTGCTCTCTTTCAGATCCTAGAAGCAGAAACTTTGGGGACTACATTGCTAGACTGAATCTGATCCTTATTCCTAGGGACCCCAAGAACTCAGAGCTAAGTTATAGAGGTTGAAAGTGTGGGCAATAGGAGTAATTCTTCACCCCTATCTAGCTCAAACTGAAACCAAAAATAGTCAGCGGTCTCCTCCAGAGCTACCAGTTTCCCAAGAGAGGCTCTACTAGCTGAACAGGCCTAGAGGGGAAACAAGAGTTGCCAAAGTGTCTCAATACCTGGAGAGTTGTCATGCTCAGATTCCGCCCTCCTCCAGGCTAAAGAAGGAAAGAGTTGTCTGTTTTCCATCAATCTCCCATCTCCTTAGGTCATTATTGAAGAAGAGCACTTCAAGCAGCCTACCAGCTGCCTGATCAGCACAACCAGGCAGATACTACTGTATAGTGGCACAAGGCTAGTTTTCCCAACTCCCGAGGGGGCCAGCCAAGAAGCCTAGGCTGAGCAAACACTGATAAAACATGTTTAGACCTAGAGTATCCTGGAAGTGAAGAAGACTCCAAGGACAACCCCAACCTTCACTGCAGGATCCCACCTAGGCCTATTCTGCCACTTACATACCACCTTCCTACAGTCTCTGCTCCATCCCAGATACATTCCTCTCTCGAGCTGGGAAGGTTAGCACTTCCTCCGCACATTCTCAGTGAAAGGTTCCTCAAAGTCCTTTCTAGCTAAATTTAGGTAGCAAGCCCCCAAGAGCTAGGAAGGAGAGAAATGGATAAACATTGTTTGTCTGAGTACTATTGGAGGAATGGGGGGGAGGGGGCGCTGGTGGCCATACTGAGTAGGGAGCGATTTATAATGTTTTGATGAGCCAGGCCCTAGAAAGGCCCTTCCTGTTCCCACAACAACTATCCAGGGGTTGCTGATACTCACTGATAGAATTTCAAAAGAAAAGACCAGCAATGCCCATCATATATCTTTTACCTCAAATTTGGACAAGGGCTAGGCAGCAAAGTGGCAAGGATTAAGGGTTTTTCATAGTTGCCAAGAGCTCCACAACCACTGGATAGAGAAGAACAGACCTAGCTAGGAGATGGGTAACAGTAGACCTCCTACCTCGGCCACTTAAGTGATTTCGTAGCTGCCAGGGCAGAAGAAACAGGGTCATGCAGAATGCAGGGTCACCGCATGGGGAATCAGAATTATCCCTGAGATTTCCTACAGCAGAGGTTAGCAAGCTGATATAGAAATCCATTTCAGTAAGGCTGCTACACTCTACTCTAGAGAGTAGGCAGCCCCTGATTACTTAATTACATACCTGTTCTCGAATGTAATGCCCTTGAGTTCTGCCAGGATACAGTCTACAGGCGGGAGCAGTTGATTCCATGCCTTAACGGCCTGAGGTAAATACCTAAATTTCTCCAGTACCTGCCAGCAAAGAGGGTCCCATTAGAAGGCTGGGTTAGCCAGGCAACCTGCCCCCACCCTTTCCTGATCCCTTCCCATAAGACCTCTCAGCACCTTCCTTAAAGGGACAGGGCAGGACATACAGGAATGGGCTCACCTCTCCTCTATGGGATCTGAAACTAAAACTATCCTGACCCTCAAATACCAGATATTCTCCCCTTCCTCCTCCTCCTCCCACCCCTGAATTCCCTGTGACTCCCAATCACCATATACCCTAATACTGCATTGTTCATTAGGAGCATTTGGTTGGAGTTGGGCCAAAGGGTGAGGGAAATCAATGGAAGAAAGGTAATCCGGAGACACAAATTCTAATCCTGGTCCCATCACTAACTGCATGTGACCTTGGGCCAATCCACTTATCCATGGATTCAATTTCTTCATTGGTGAAAAGGAAGAGTTAAGCTAAATGGTTTCTAAGCTACCTCCCTTCCTGCTAAAAGCAGCACCCCTCAAGCTTACTGGATCTAGGAAAGTTCTTGGCACCGTCTGCTGATCAATTGCAGTACTGCAGGGCTATGCAACCGCCTATGCCCAATTGCTCCCTACCAGTCAGTGGGACAGATAAATTATCCACGAACTTTCATTATCTGCTCCCTTCCATCGGTGTGGAGGATCAGCCAACTGCAATCTGCTCCTCTTGTCTCCTTCCTAGTCCGCCCCCTCTCTTACCAAGAAGTTCCCTCAAGCTTCGTCATTTTTCTTTCAAATTCCTTCTTAGCACTTCTCTCAGGTAGCTGGCAAAAAGGAAGAAGTAGCTGGGGCAGATGAGAATATGCCACGTCAAGGGCATTTTCTTACCTTAAACTGCTCCTCTTCATATGATACCAGTAGTTCTCGGGCTCTTTCTGAAAACAAAGAGGGAAACAGGGCAGCCAGCCTAGCCCCTTCTACTAATAAGGGATTCTGAGCCTTTCTTACATCATTTGTTGAGTAACTAGAATTCTTGCCTCACCTACCTTATAGGACTCAAGTAAGATGGTTTGTGACAATTCTTTTAAGCTAAGACTCACAACCCCAGACGAAATGCTGAGCATGGAAAATAACCAGTATTAACCCTACACCTGAGTCTTCCAGGTTCATAGATTCCTCTCTGCCCCACCAAAGGACACTTACCATACAGCTCTTTTTGTCTCTGAGACTTCTCCCAATGTGCATCAATCTCTTTGTCACCTGTGTTGTCTCCACCAGCCCTGACATCCAGCTCTGCACCTTTCCCTTCATCCGTAGGCTTTGGTTTCTGTTCTGTGATGTCATCAACAATGTTCTTTGATTCCTCTTGGTTGTCTTCATCTGTCTCTTCCTTCTCCTCCTCCAACTCCCAGGTCTCTCTCAGGCTGTTCTCCAGTTGGCGGCACCAGTAGGTCTTCTGGAGCCAATCCAGAACAAAATAGCAACCTAAAAGCGGGGAGGAAGGGAAGCAGTGCCCTAGGAGCAGCCACATGAAAGCTCCTAGCAGACCCCCAGCTCACTTTTCTAACACTATGGGAAGGCCAAATAGAAGAGGCGTGCGTGACTCCAAGAAGGCACAAATCTTAAACATCCAGAAGCAGGCCTTCTTCCTTCAGTAATCCCCGTCCTTTGCATCCTCCTACTTACTAGCACCTTTCCTAGAAAAAAAAACTAACACCCGATTTACATATGGGAAGCCAAAAATGGCACAGGGTTATCAAGTGAGAGAACAGGAACAGCCTAATAAGTAGTTACATGGCCTTGGCCAAGTTTTCCCAACATGAAGGGGCCAGGCTGAATCAGGGATTCTTAGTTGGGATGGAATGTCCAGAAAACTCCTGAGTTCATACACTTGATGGCTTACACCTCTCAACCCTACTCCCACTCACCTCCTCCTCGGGCATAAAATTTAAGGGGAAGCCAGAAAAACTCAACTGAGATCAGAACAGTGCTCTGCCAACTCATATTGCAGTCTAAAGCAAAAAAATAATTCAGTAACACTAATCCTGTCTTCATTTTAAAATGTTGGTATTTTGTTCTTTATGGGTTTTCCATTAAAATGTTATCTATCATGATTACTGAGCTTTTGACTCCCCTTTCAAGTATTCAACCAAGACAAGTGCCTCACTCGCCTCACCTTAGTCCCAGCTCTGACCCCAGGTGAAGACCCTCCTCCCTCTCCCTCTCTCCCCAGTGCCACCCAATCCAGGACTCTGGGCTCATGACAGACATATTCCCTGGGGATTCACCTCTACGGCAGTCATTTATATGAGGCATTTTCTTGTGAGTCAACTCATGGCGAAGTTCAACAATCCAATCCGGGATGTTCACCTGATTGTGGGGAAGGGTGTGAGTGCAGAAATTAGAAAAAGTTAAAGCTGGAGGAGCCCACAGAAATGAATTAGCTTGGCCTGTCCCCATTTTACAGATAGAGAAACTGAGGTCCTGAGAGGAGGTTTCAGTCTTTCTGGCAAAGCCAAGATGAGAAACCAGGTCTCCTGATTCTTTTTACTGCTCTGAGGAGGTAAACTAGAAAATAAAATGATACTTGCATCCCCCAACCACCAGTCACATTCCTCCAACAAAGGGAGTCCTATAAATGAGCATAAAAAATCACCTTCTCCAGACTTCCTCTCTCTTGCCCGTACAAGTCTCTGTCCCTGGGTACCCTTACCTTCCTCCCTCCCTCCCACCCTTCCTCCAGAAAGCTTCGCTTGATGACTGAGAATCTTCCTGCCCTCTACATACTCAGGGCAGGAATACCCTGCTGCCTGGCTGAGCTTATCTTCTCCCTCAAACTGTCAGCTCTCAGAGGGCAGGTGTGCTGTGATGGCCACCTCTTTCCTGGCCCCTCCCCCCTAGTAATGCATTCCATTTGGGCACCTTAGCTTCCACTGGGCTTCTCCCAGCAAGATGGGAAGGCCAAGCCCACTGACGATAGCACTCATAAATAAGGGAGGAAGGTGGCTTATTTCAAGCTGAAGGCTGAGTCTCTAGGTTCTTGCTTGGCTGGCTGGCAGTGATGAGATGAACTAGCCTTCCTGTGTGCCCACATCACCCCATGCCCCATTTACTGAGCTCTCCTGGGGAGAGAGAATTGAGCAAGACCACTTTATCATACGCACCTCCTGAGCCAGGAACCTGAGGGGGAGCTTGACAGACTTTGTCTTCCTCTCCGAGATAAGATTCACAAACCTGGGGTTAGGGGAGAAATGAGTGGCACAGCCCAAGTAACTATTTTACTCAAACCAGTAAAGCTTCAAAAACACCTTGCTGAATTACCGACGGCTTGCATTTCCACAACCTTTCCACTAACTGTTCTGCCCAGTTCTTACGGTTGGTAAATGGTTAGTACATTTTACCCTGTACTAAAGCAATATAGATGAATAAGACACTGGAAGAGTTCAGTCTACGATAAATAGTCATGATATAACATGTTTATGCTAGAACATTCTGGGTTTTAAATGTTAGAACAAAGGACTGCCCAGCTGGTGTGGCTCAGTGGTTGAGTGTCAACTTATGAACCAGGAGGTCACGGTTCGATTCCCAGGCATGTATCCAATCCCCAGTAGGGAGCGTGTAGGAAGCAGCGGATGAATGATTCTCTCTCATCATTGATGTTTCTCTCTCTCTCTCCCTTTCTGAAATCAATAAAACTAGATTTTTGTAAAAAAGAAAGGACTAGGTCAAATGATATGAGGAGCACAGCTAAACAATGGAGAAGGTACAAAGAGCTAGGCATGACCTGAAGTCAGACAAGGGGAATAGGATGAGATGAGCAAAATTTTTGAGATGAGAAAACCCGGTAGCAGCCTTTTTCCCAATGTGCATGAGACAGCTAGAACCACTCTGAGTCACTTTGTAAGTCAGGAATTCCCAGCCCATGTCTCCACTTCCACAACTCAGCAATCATTCAGAGAAGGGTAAAGGGTAATGCTTGGTATGGATGAGGTAGGGTTGGAGAATCCACATTAAAACATGGCCAGGGCACAGAACCATTCAGAAAAGTTCCTCTGGGTAAAAGACTTAAAAAAGAAAGAAATACATCAACCTGTCAAAGCTGGAAGAGACCTACAGAGATCACTAGCCCAAATACCCCACATTCTAAGAAAGAGAAGGAAAGAAAAATGGAAAAGAGAATGCTCTCAGGAGAAGAAAAGGGGAATGTGTGTTGACAGGGAATAACAAAATCTGTCAAGTCAAGCAATCACAAGACACACAGGGCTTTTTCCTTCAGGTAGCACCTGAAGCCAAGATTTGTCACATGCTATCCCACCCCATCTCTGCCCCCAAACCACCCTCCACCCCTACCCATGTAAATCTTACCTGACCAATGCCATGCCATAGAGCAGTCTAAGTTCATCAGTGCCCAAGCCACCAGTTACATCCACCAGCTTACAGCGAACCAGGTCAGCAGTAGAAGCCACTGCCAGGGGCAGTTCGTTGCCTAACCTAAAGAGCCACAGTCCAGCACCATCATAAAGGTCCCTTAACACTGGTCCGCCCTCCACCTCAGAACCTAGGTTGCTGTAGATTATTCCAAATACAAAGATGTGCAAAAGTAGGTTTACATTCTGAGTAGCCAAACTACAGCTTATTCTTGTATTATTATTTATTTTGTATTTATTTGTATTATAACTGTAAATCTACTTTTGCCCATCCTTGTATTTACTGAGTATTTACTGACTCAAGTGTACATGAACAGACATAAATCAAGACGGTGGGAAGAGGAAGGGTAATGTCCCTGGGGTCCAATAATATACAGGGCATGAGAAGTTGGCTAGGTTACATAGACATCTAACTGCTATGCAATCAACCAACAATTCAGCATGGACAGGGCCCCTTCTTTCCCCTTAAACTCTCAACTTATTCTGCTAGAGAAGACCCTTATTTCCTTGAGACTTTTATACCTTGTCTGCTTCCAAATAAATCTTACCAACTGGACTAAGGCGCCCCATTCAAAAATGGTTTTGCAGGCAAACTCCCCTCCCCCCCCGCCCCCAACCTACCTAACTCAAATTGGAAATACACCCTAGGATACTAACTTAAGCCCTGGCTCTCTGGCACCCTCCCCAAGATGGGGAGAGAAAGGGAAAAGGTCACAGATTTAACATGATGGTTGCTGAGGCAACACCCCTCTCTTTCCACAAATAGGATTAGTGCAAGAGCTCGGTTACGACTTTACCCCAGGCACTTGAGAAAAGCAACGCCCAAGCCACTCACAGGGAAAATAAGGCTTCATAGGAATCCACAAAGGAAGGTGCCAGCAGTATGCAGGCAGGTTGCCTTACCTGCTCCTCCAGGCTGTGATGCGGTTCAGTGCGTACCGCTGCAATTTATGGTCATCACAGAACAGATACACCGTCACCTGATCCCACTCGGCCTTACTGAGCCAGGCGACTACGATGCGCTGTGCCCAGAGGGGCGACAAGCTTTTATCTTTGACGAACTTCCCACACCACGCACTCCACACCTGATCCATTCCCCCAGAAGGAAGGCCCAGACCTGACCCGGCCCCGGCCCTGAATTCCCACCCCACACTCGGCTGTACGCCCAGGCTAGGGCCGCGGCACTCCGCAGAAACTTCAGCTCTACACGCTAGCCTCACTTCAAACCGCCACCCCGCCAGCAGCCAATAGGACAGTGTAACCTCAGACGCAAGCCCTCCTCCCAGCGTTAGCGAGACAAATCGGAACGTAAGAGCTGGGTACCAGCCGAGCCACAAATGGAAGGTACGGCTCCATCAGCCGGAAGTGTTCTTTCTCAAAGTAGCCGTACCAACTACGCGCCTTTGGCCTCAAGGTTCCGCTGATTTCCGGTTGCTAACAGGTCTCTGGGTCCCAGATCCGGACCATAGTCTGGAGTGCAGGAGGAATTTTAGTTTGCGCCCCCTGGCGGGTAAGGGAGGAATCGTGACTGTTCTATGTACTGGAAATGTGCTTATGAAGTAAAACTACAGAACAAATATCTAATATGTAAATATCCAAAGTTAAGTTGAAAAATCTGCTGGGTTTTCGCATCTGTACAATGAAGGGCTTAGGATGGGTGATATCTAGGTTCTCTTTCAGAACTGAAAGTTGTAAGGATTTTACTCTGCCAGCATTCCACTGCTATGTTGGTTTCACCATCCACAAAGGTATACTTAGCTTTTCTAGATAATTCCTTGGAAATCTGCAGTTCTGAGAGGGAAGCAATTTTATGAACGCCTTCTAATTTTACAGGTTGGCTGAAATGTGTTCAGCACTCCATCCCAATCCTCACGTAAATTATTTTTCAATCTAATATTGGAGAGAGAACTGTTGTTAGCAATCTGAATATCACTGCTGTAAGTAGGTGTGTTGTTGTTTTTACACTTTGCAGCAACAAATTCTGATCTATTCTCTATATGTAATTCTTTCTCCAGCCAGATTCTCCTAAGATACATGGTTCTTCAGTGATGGTTACACGCTCGCTGTCCTGGGTAGTCATGCCAATGAGTTAGCCAGGTATCTGTCAGAAACCAGATACCCTTTCACCTTCAGGATCTCACATTTCTGGAAGTCAAAAGTCCAAAATCTGCATTATTTGTCTAAATTCAAGGTGCTGGCAGGGCTCTAGTCCCTCTAGCTGCTCTAGAGGAGAATCTGTTTCTTGTCTTTCCAGCCTCCAGTAGCTACTGACATTCCTTGACTTGTAGCTACAGCACTCTAATGATCAAGGTCAGCATCTTCAAATGTCTCTCTGTTCTGCCTTCACCTTTTTCCTGTGTTCATAAGATCTTCCTCTGCTTCCTTTTACTACATATGATTGCGTTTAGGGCCAACTTGAATAATCCAGGATAATCTCCCCATTTCAAGATCTTTAATTTGATTATCTCTGCAATTAGGTTTAGTTTAAAATTTATTTACCTCATAAGGTAGTGGTATTTTATATTTATCTCTTTTACTATATAATGTAACTTTCACAGGTTCCAAGATTATGATGTAGATGTCTTTTTTTGAGGGGGGAGCAGGAGGAGTTATTTCTTCAGCCTACTACATATATATACAGGCACATGATCAAAATCCCAAGAATCTCTAGACCCAGAAGAAGAAAAAATCTCTAGGCATATGATGCTGTAGGACACCTTCACTATACCTGTGGGCTTGAAGTAAACAAACACTCTCCAAGTCTAAGGCATAGCCTATGAAATCTTGAAGTTGGTCAATTTTGTCTTCAAACTACAGCTTCACCTTGTTTGTTTCACCATCCCTCTCCCTCTAACTCCCACTTTATGCATCCCACTGCCTAAGTCAGTCCTGAGGCCCCTACTGATTAAACACCTATATGTTGATGCCCTTCAAGTCTATAGCTCTGGTCCTAATATTTCTCTGGAGCTCAAGATCATAGAATCAATTACCTATTGCACTCAATATTGACCTGTTGAAAAATAAAATACCTTTTCCTGGCCAGTGTTGCTCAGTTAGTTGAGCATAGTCCCATGCACCAGGAGGTTGCTGGTTCAATTCCCAGTCAGACAACTTGGTCTTGAATTCTGGCTTTACTACTTATTATATGTGAAAATTTGAACAAGTTATTTAACTTCTTATGCCTCATTTTCTTCATCTGAAAATGCAGAAAAAAAGGACACTTACCTCTTAGAACTATTGTATGAATTAAAAGATAAGTATAACATTCTTAATACCATTTGTGGAACATTGTAAGCACTTGAAATATTGGCCTATATTATTATTATTATTATTATTATTATTATTATTATTATTACCATCCTTCACTCTTCCACCTCCTTCCTTACCGTTTACTTCCCTTCACCACAATTACATAATATGTCTAGTAAATTCTACTTACTTTTTAATCAATATTTTCCATGACAACCTCATGGTGACTGTGCTAGTTCGGGCCTTGGTCCTCTCTGGCTCATGTACTACCTGCCTAACTGGTTTCCCTGATTCCATCCCTTACACAGCATAGAAGGGGCCTCATAAACTAGATCCTGATCTTGTTAGCATCCTGAATTCCTGGGCTGTTTTCCTGAAACAGTAGGCATTAAGTAGTTTTTCAAAGGTTTTGACAATTTGGTTCAAACCTACCTCATGTCTAATTACTCCTTGTACTACCTTGCAGTTAAAGCTAATTTCTAAGTATGCAAACCTCTTGTAAGCCTTTATGTTTTCCTCTATTAAATTATCCCTATTTAGAATGCTCTCCTTTCCCCGCTCTTTCTGAAAAACCACTATTTATCTTTTAAGATTCAGGATCCTTTGTCAAATCTAGTTATCCCAGGAAGAGTAAATATGTCAGGTTCTTTTCTGAATTCCCACATCACTTTGTGTATTATTCTATTGGAAGAAGGAAGGAAAAGACACACTTGCTGGATGCCTACCAAAGCAGCCATAGTTGAGAAACTCTCCCACACTTTTGTGTTCCAAACAACAGTTCATTGTAAAGGACCACATTGCCCTGGAATATTCTGAGAGAAGATCCTCTCCATACTTCCTCATGACTCCCATAAGATTTCTTGATGCCTCCTTTGTTTACCTGCCTCTATAAAATTCCAATTTTGATTTTTTTCCCCTTTGAGCCTTCTCCCTATGGATTTTACCTGAATAAAATCATCTCCTTAGTTGCCTGAAGCATTTTGTCTTTCACATGGTCCTCATAATCCTATGAAGTTGCTTTTGTTCAACTCAATTTACAGATTAAAAACACAAAATTCAATTGCATGGCCTAAGATGGCACCATTATGAAATGAGGGAAATTCCCTCCCAGGTATGTGGTTCTGAGGCCTAGCCTTTTCCTACAATATTCAGACAGTGGCTGTGATTTACCTCTTTACAGGCCTGCTTCAGACCATGAGAACTTCAAAAGGGACATCCAGTGCTCCAATTAATCCTTGTTCGCTGAATGAATTCCTGAATAGATCATATAAACTCTCACTAAGGTAGTATTGCAGTATTTTTCTTTCTTTTTAACCTGAGCCTCTTTTTGAGAAGTAAGAAAAACACATATGAATGGCTGAAACTCTCAGCTGAAGGAGAATTTACATTTTTTAACTTTTATTTTTTTAAAAAATGATTTTAGAGAAGGAGAAAGGAGAGAGAGGGAGAGGGAGAGAGAGAGAGAGAGAGAGAGAGAGAGAGAGAGAGAGAGAGAGAGAGAGAGAGAGAGATTGGGAATTGAACCCATGACCTTCTGGTGCCCAGGGCGATGCTCCAACCAACTGAGTCACACTAACCAGGGAAAATTTAAATTTTAAAATGGAGAATATAGTGCCTTATCAAAGTAATGGGGGCCCTCTGAAAAATTTCAGTCCTGGTTGAGGTGGAGGAGCTAATGACTCTTCCAATACCCCAAGCCTTATAAAACCTTAAAGTGGCAGAATTTCCTCAGAGAAATAAATGACCCACTTGGGTCTGGAAGCTCTTCATTGGCCCCTGTATCATATTTGTTATTCTTTCTAACAATAACTCAGAATTGGGTACTGGAAGGTGAAATTCAGATAAATGCATCTCAGGTTAACTGCCTATTTCTGTTGCAGGATTATCTCCAGAATCATAACATTCTTCCAACGGAAGGAGTCTCAGAGGTCATCTTATCCACTCCCCTAATTAGGTTGTATTTCGGTCAAATGGGAACCTATACTTTCTTAAGGATTTGCTGTAGGCACTCACAGTAGGAAGCCATTATTTGTGTCTAACCTCCCTCTTTTGTGCTGCAGTAGCAATGTGATTTTCTTTCTTCTTTCTGCCAAAATGGTGGACAGCCCTATAGATTTAAAATTCCCACTCAATCAATAATATACCTGAACAGAGACTCTGTTCCAATTTTCAGATGATATATTCTTCCTAACACAGATATTCTGCTACTACTAGTGTGGAACGTTAGGTTGGAGCAGTGCAAACTGGCTGTGACAGGGGATCATTCCTCTAAGGGGTCTATAAGCATTTCTCTAAGGCAGTAGATTTCACACATTTCTGGATTAAGATCCATTGTAAGAAATAGTTTCTATTTCATTACTCATTTCACATATACATGTATCTAACTGAAACAAAATTTCCACAAAACAATACTTACTCTTACTGCATGCAATTCAACTCTAGTTTATTTAGTTGTTCTTTAATGGTGGTCATCACCATCATGGAAGGGGGTCATGGATATACACCATTAGCACTTGAGAACCAAAACTTTCTATCCCCATACTTAGCCTGGCCATAGAGAACTGAAAACATGCCTTACTGTATACACTAGTATGATTTTTCTATTTCACTGTCTTCATCAGCATGACTACTTTCCCAGGACTCCCTGCTCAGGCAAATGGTTCATTATAAGAACATCCTGAAAAGCCCAACAACTAACTCGTCAGTGGAAAGCATCAACGGACATTTTGAAATGCCCTAGAATTCTTTAAATCCCTGATTTCAAAAACAGCAGGCTGTTTCCACCAATGCTGGACTGTTATATTATGATCCTTGCCTAATTATAATCAAGTATCTGCATTGAAAG